GCTACTACTGCTTCCAGGGCCAAACGTACTCCTACTACTGCTATTGCTGCTCGAGATGCTGCGTTTACCCTGGGAGTGTGAGCGCCTTGCAATCCTAGAAGTACGAGGACGTGAGTCATCAAGCATAACCCCGCAACTGATCCGAGGGCCACAAAGCCGACCACCGGAATTGAGCTTTGACTTTCTGCGTTCCAGAATCAAGGATGATCATGTGCTTCGGGTTTAGCAGAGCAACTTGGGAAGAGAGCAAACCCTGTTGACCTGTTAGAGAAATCCTGAAACTGATCTTGGTCTCCTGAACGCTTTGGCAAAGCCCCGGACTGCCCACCTGAATCTCGACGCTCCCGTCCGAGAGGTTGTAGCAGCATTGCAACATAGCTCAGACAGAGGTGCACTCAACTGGCTAGGTACTGGGTAACCCAGTATGTGTGCATGGCTGGCTAGCAATCCAGCTAGAATCATGGCTGTCATTGACCTGGGCCTAACTGTAAAACGTCACCAAGAAGTCTAAACCCAAAGATCCTCCCCCCCTGGCTGCCCAAATCCTGGGGACCCCTCCTGAAACAAGGACATGCTGGAGCCCGACTGAAGGCATTTCCACATCTGAAAACCTCCGCACCAAGTTCGATGCATCGTCGTTCCGAGCTTCACAACCCCCCCTCCCCCGCCTTTTGCAATCCACCTAACACGGCTGCTATTCCAAGACCTCTCCCTGGTCTGAACTTGAAACTGCGATCCAACAATATGAGAAGACCGTCGTCTGCTTGCGAACCGAAAGTAGTCTGGTTTCTGATTTGCCGCGATCTCGATGCCTAGGAACAGGGCCCCAGGATTGAGGCTTGGCAGTTTCCCCTAAACCCTAAACCCTAAAACCTAAACCCTAAACCCTCAACCCTTGAAGTTTCAAGCGGCTGCTCAGCTGATCCTTGGCATGCGTTTGGCTTGCGCTGGGGTTTGCTGGAGGCTTCTCGGCCTGAGTCTCCTGCTGAGGCGCAGATCCTCGAGGTCCTCGGATCGTGGGGAGGCCAGGGTCGAAAGGGTGCTCCCCTGTTTTGGTGAGGACTCAAACTTGTGCTTTACCAGGCCACTCCTCAAGCAGAGCTTCCGAAGAAAAGCCACGAATCCTACAGCCGAGGGCCGACATCCCATAAACCACAACGAGACCTGAAATCGTGGTGTGCCCCAAGTGGCACAAAAATTCGGGGGCCCTCAAAGTCGAGCCACAAGCTGCGTCTTCTTTCTGGGAGGGTCCTACCTTAGGCTTGCTTGATCAGGGTTTAGGGTTTAGGGTTTAGGGTTTAGGGCTTAGGTTTTAGGCTTTAGGGTTTAGGGTTCGGGGTTTAGGGTTTAGGTTAGGGTTTAGGGTTTAGGGTACAGGGTGTAAGGACTCTTACTTCAGGATTTAGGACTGATGTTGGCCCAAAAAAAACGTGTCATGGAGCGATCGAAATGCTCGTGCACTTTTACCCCCTGCACGGCAGAAATGTGGTCTGTATACTGTACACTGGCACACAGGGCTTGGATCTGCTGTCGGGTCTGGAGCTGCAGGTTTAGGGTTTAGGGTTTAGGGTTTAGGGTTTAGGGTTTAGGGTTTAGGGTTTAGGGTTTAGGGTTTAGGGGTTTAGGGGTTTAGGGGTTTAGGGGTTTAGGGTTTAGGGTTTAGGGTTTAGGGTTTAGGGTTTAGGGTTTAGGGTTTAGGGTTTAGGGTTTAGGGTTTAGGGTTTAGGGTTTAGGGTTTCTGCATGAGGGTTTAGGGTTTAAAAGGTCGCTTTAAGACCTCCTTGGAGCTCTCCGCAAGCGATGAGTTTGGCTCTGCCACACACATCGCATGTCTAGGTTTTTGGAGCTCATGACACCTGTGCAAGGCTCGATAAAAGACGCTTGGCACCCAAACTGAGGCCTGCCCAAATCGCCGTGCAAGCCCCAAAGAACACAAACTTGAACCCACACTCCACCTGAAACCCCTCCCATTCATGAGCCCCGGCAGACTATTTTATCTACCGGTAGGCTTCCAGGTTTGGAGCTGACGACACAATTCCTACTTGGCCCGGCCCCTCGGCTTCTTCTTCTTTGGTGCCTCCACCGACGCCACCGCCGCGGCCTCAGGATAGTGCAGTGTTGGCAGTGTTGGCAGTGTTGGGTTTGGGGGAAATGTCGAGGTTTTTCAGCGTTCTGTGGGTTTGCGCGGGTTATTTCAGCGGTTTTTGCAAGGAATGGAACGTCCGGGTTTGGGGCTCAGAGGCTCTGGAATAAGGAGTTGAAGGTCTGAGCTCAGCTTTGTCCCGCTAGGCCCAGCATTAAGCGTAAGCGTTTTGGCTAGGCGTCGTGTAGGCTGGAGCTTAGAGTGCTTTGGTGTTCATGGCTTGTCTTTCAAGGCAAGGTCTATGTCGGAGATTTCTCGCAAGTGCGCTGAACGATATGTGGCCCTGTGCTGCCGCTGGGGCATCGTGCATGGCCGACTCTATTTGGCACATGCTTTCTCTTGGCCATACTCAGGTCAAAAACCTGGTCACCCCAACCCCAAGCCCCGTCGAAGTTCACAAAATGAACATTAGATCCCACACCCAACTGCTCTGCAGGAATTCCTTCCCAATGCGTCCAGACACAGGCTTTGGTTTGAGCGAGGGCGCTGCCTGTGGAGTGAAGCCGACACAAGATGCACAGTTTCGAGGATACATCGAAAGTTGAGTCACAATCAACACGCCACGTCTTTCGAGGCTTTGTGGGGTTGGTAGAGCTTGGGGAACATTGTGGATTGCAATGAACTTCTTGCAAACTGTGGTATACGCAGTGTGAACTCAAGATTTGGGCCCACGCAGCCCCTCTCTTCCTTTGCAGGTGGAGCTGCTTCAACATGATATCCGAGCAGCTCACCAACGCCAACCCTGAGCACCTTGCGAAAACCCCACCCACAGAACTTCTCGATACAAAGGGCTGTCGCTGACTCTACCCATCTAAAAGACAAAAACAGGATGCGACGTCCAAACCCACGCCAGCCCATACAAGTAGAGCGCGGAGGGCACATGTACCCCATGACAATATAACATTACATGACATTGCAACATTGCTTCACATTGCATAACATTGTTTCCACATTGCATAAGAATCCCTAAACCCCAATTTTACTCAGGATCCGTATTAGGAATTAGGGTACATACCTTTGTTAAGGGGCGCTGGAAGATCTGGGCATCACGAAGTACCCTAAACCCTAACTCAACCCTAAACCCTAAACCCTAGTGCTCTTTCTGAGCCCCACCTGTGGGGGCCGGCTCTCTCGCAGACGCCGTGCCAGGTCCTCCGGAGAGGCCCTGAGGTGAGGCGCCAGAATCTCCTTGGATAAAGGGTTTGGGGTGTCGGGTTTAGGGTTAAGGGTTTCGGGTTTAGGTTCAGGGATGAGGGTTTTAGGGTTTAGGGTTACAGGGTGTAGCACAGGAAATGTGGGACTGCACAAAGCTGCACGCCATCTGCAGGTGAGCGTCCCGGATCTTCAGGATGAAGGCTGCACGCGAATCCTCCGGCATCGGTGCGAAAATCTGCTACAAGCTTTCAAGCGGCAGTCATGCGGCCAATGCCTGAACCATTACATCTCCAGTTATCATCAGAAACCCGCTGCAACATGGTTCCCACCTGAAGCTCAAGATGCAGCAAACACTCCCCCAAAACTGGGAGTGCGCTCTTGGCTCGGTTCTTGGTGCGTCCCCAAAGCTCGCAGTCCAAACGGTACAAGCAGCTCCATGTTTTGGGCTCCTCCATCTCCGCATCACCCCCGAGGAACTCCCAGTCCTCTCACAAGGCTGCAAGTCTTCAAAGCCCTCCCGTGACCCCCCTCGTCTTATACGCAGGGCTTGGTCGATAGAAGCCCCCGCATCCCGAAAACTGGCCGAGGATCCACAGCCCGGTGGACCCTCACGCCATCCCCAGGCAAACAAGGGACCCCGGATAAAAGATCCCCAAATAGCAAGATTCCCTTACAATACGGACCCCAATAAGGTGCCCCGAATATCGGAAACCTTCCAGTGGGCCCACCCAGTCCCCACAGTAGTGAAAGAGCTGACCACGGCCATCCACAAAGAGCTCCGGGTCAAAGAGGATCCTGACCTGAAATTCGGGGTACCTTATTGGGGTCCTTTTTCAATAAGGGACCCCTTGTATTTGGGGGTTCTACATTAGGGGCCCCTTATTTTCGTAACCCGCCAAAATGACTCTCTACTCTGCCACAGCCAGGCGAGGCTCTAATCTCACCACCTGGAAAACCCCCAAAAACCCTAAAACCTAAACCCTAAACCCCCAAACCCTAAACCCTAACGTTGCACAGCGAAAGCCTTTGAAGTAAAAGGGCTCTCGGAGTTTCCGAGGATCAAAGGCAGCTTGGCCGACACCTGACCTCAAGCTGTAGGACCCCCTTGAACCCTAAACCCTAAACCCTAAACCCTAAACATCCCTAAACCCTAAACTGCCCAGCGCACCTGCCCGTCCAGCTGCTTGTGGACTCTCCCTGGCGATTCCAGCCATGGCCGCACATCAGTGGCAATGGGAATTCCAAATGCCTGGCGCTGGTGTGAAGATCTTTCATTTGTGACTAGGGTGATGCCTCCCATGGAAAGGACGTACCAAGTCAAAGGGCGATTTCAGAAACATCTTTCCCCTAAATGTCCTAGCAAGGAGTCCCGTTTGCAAGCAGCTAAGTGTTCCATCTCTGGCACGTTTCGTCGATGGCCGCTGTTAGCAGAAGCAAGTCTACTCATTAACTACATGCAACCCGATGGCGAATACACGCAACACCTACCGCACGCACATATAATCCTGTTCGATTGCACGTGTCTTTCATTCGATGTGCTTTGTGAGAGGCTGTTGCTCCTTCTTTTGGCCCACAAGGTGCCTACATGAACAGCAATCAACGACTAATCAACGTGTCAAGGGCGACTTTAACCTCCCCTAGACCCACTGCGTGTCCGCAAGCGTTTAATTCAGGGCAGGTGGCTTGGCAGTGGTAGACATAATCAGCCACATGCTGCCTCAGCAATGACAAGTGACTGCTTCAAGTCATAACATCTCTCGCACCAAAGACAGGCTCGAAAAAGAACCTGCAAAGGCAAAGTCCTCCAGAAAAGGGCTTTCTCTGCATGAAAGCCGGGTATCTTGCGGATGAAGATTTGCAGCATCTGGCCCCCCAGGCGCTTCACGGTGCTGTTGCCAGCGTGGCCGTATCCCGAGACTTGCAGCCCGAAGTCTGCGCCCACTTCCGCAAGCTTGGCAGTGAGCGCGGCGGCCGTCTCCTTCGACACCGCGCAGGCCTCCTGCCACACCCAAAGCCCTCAAAATCCTCAGAATCGCCCTTTCTGGCAGCGGGCTTCTTTTGGCCTGGTCCACTTGCAGCGATGGGGTGGGGCAACCACACGCTTGCTCGAGACCATGTGTGGAAACATTAATGTGCCACATGGAACATCTTGATGAGGGGTAGCGTTGTTGGCCCCCTATTGGCAGTGGATGGTATTATTCCTGAACTTGTTTGCGCCTGATACCAGAATGCAAAAAACAACGCATGTAGACCTAGCGTCCCTGGCCGAGCTTCAGGGCAGCTTCAAATCGCCAGCCACGTAGCAGACACAACCCCAAAACGTTTGCGGACAAGTAATTCCAAATAACAAAGACTTCGCCCCAGGCTTCTGTCGCAGGACTCTGCGGAGTTCTCTGGGGGTGGGCAGGGATGCCAGAAGACAGGGCGGGACACCGGGCAAGGAGGCCAGCAGAATGGTTGACTTGAAATCTAAACCCCCCACGACACAAACCTGCATAAACCTTGCGCAGTTCTAAACCCTAAAGCCTAAACCCTAAACCCATAACCCCTAAACCCTAAACCCTAAACCCAAAACCCTAAACCCTAAACCCCAATCCTGCAGCATGTCCGTCAGCAGGCCCTTAAAGGAGAGGTCCGTGCAGCCGTAGCCCTGCCGAAAGCAGGTCAGAGGCGGCGCCTCAGGGTGGGGAGCTGCACACGTAGGGTTGACACAGAGGGTTTAGGGTTTCGGGTTTAGGGTTTAGGCTTAGGGTTTACGGTTTACGGTTTAGGGTTTAGGGTTTAGGGTTCCGGGTTCAGGGTTCAGAGTTTAGGGTTTAGGGTTTCGGTTTAGGGTCTTTTTCCAGGGTTTAGGGCTTAGGGTTTAGGTCTACATTGAGCTTACACTGAGTTTTGCTTTAAGCCCTTTGAAAATTAGTTATGAATAGGCTCCCTTGTACGGAACAAGGGGAAATCAAAAATATCCCAAAGCACAACCCTGTTACATAGGGCTGACACATAGGTTTGACACATAGGGCTGACACATAGGGCTGACAGATAGGGCTGACAGGTACATAGGCCTGATACATAGGGCACGTAGGAGTGACACATAGGGTTCGTTTACATGGTAGCCCACATGGTTTTCGCCTAGGACGCCTAAGAGTCTAGTACTCGGGGGAAGTGCAAGGTCGGGGAATGTCGGCTCTAGATCGCTGGCTGACGCTAGTCATCTGGAAGCGTGAACACAGACGCCTGACAGAATTTGCCGCAAGACCTAGGCAGGCAGTTCTACAGCCTCAAGACTTCTTCACCCCTAAAAACACACCTGACCATTACCCCGCTTTCAGCCGAGAAGTTGTAAATCGGGCCTCAGAACCGAAGGCAAAAAGCGTGGGCGAGGCCGAGATGGCCAAGGAACGGAACCAAGGGTCGTGGTCCTGGACAAAGTTGCTGGGTGGAGAACGTTGGGGGATGTGGCAGTCTCAAAGGGGCAGACAAGATGGAAGCAGAAAGGGGCTGCATCTTTGGAGCATTTCGGGAAAAGGGAAGCGTAGGGGCTTGGGCGGGGTCCTGAGGATTCGTGAGGGTCTATTCTAGGTTGCTTGGGGCTTGCAGAGATTGTCAGCTTCTTTCACGAACCCAAACAGCACGCTGGTTCTCCACCATGGACGTGGTGCTTTGTCTTTCAATTTGAGGTGCAGCTCGACGAGGCGCGGGTGTGGCTACAGGCAACTATGCATCGTGAAACCCCAAACCTAAGCCCCCAAACCCTGATAGAGGGCTGAACTACGACACGCCACAGCGCCAAACCATGCCAAACCCCGTCCTGGCCCTTGAGCGTGCCCCGGGTGTCAAAGGCAGCAATCAGCTTCGAAATCGTCGCTTCGTTGAAGTGTCCAGCAAAGATGCGGGGTAATGGGGCGAAGGTGTCGGGCAGCTTGAAGGCGTGCCTTGCGATCTCGGCCTGTCAGGGCCCAAGAAACCAACAAGGAAGAAAGCCTTCGAAAGCGCTGGATACAGCGATGGCCCCAAGCCTACCTGTACTTCGTAAAGAAGGGAGGCGCTGTTGTAGTGATGGTAGAAGACGCAGCACTCCTCGTCCATCTGCTGCTCCCGCTGCAGCATCCTCTCAAAGCACACAGCTGCAAAGGCAGCTGTGTTGTCAGTGCCTACCTGCTTCAGAATGGTATCGACGGCCGTCTGCTTCTTCTCTGACCTCGCGTGTGCTTAGCCTGCTTTCTTAGGGGGCTTGGAAGCTCAATTAGTCAATTAGCTGAATGCTGAACAAACGAACCCAAGAACGGCTTCTTTTTTTGGGAAAGCCTCGGGTACTCTAGAGTCCGCAAGGACTGGCAGGTCTTGTCCAGGTCCACGTGGCACTTGATCTCCCAGCCGTCCTGAGACAGCGACCCATTCTTCGGCTTGTAACCACCGTGGGCAGGAGCCTCTGACTTGGCAGCTTTCAGCGCGGCCTCCAGCTCTGCTGCCTTGAGTGCATCCGCTGGAACCTCAAGCTCGGCCAATGCAAGGGCAGCAAGCTTGGCCGCCGCGTCCGCCGCGTCCGCCGCGTCCTTTTCTGCATCCCTCGTGGCCGATGTCTCGCTGCCTCCCTTGCCCGACGCCTCGCAGGGAGGAAGGTCCACCCCGTCCACAGACGCGGCGGCGCCGGCGTCGCGCTCCGACAGCGCGTTCCGGAGGAAGTCAGTGGCCACGTCCAGGTCGCCGCATCGCGCGGCCTCGCTCACCAACTTCAGGTCTGCAGAGGGGAAGAGGGACCTAGTTCATGGTTGGGGATCATATTAAAAATCTAACTTTTTCTTCCTTATTGGGTTTTAAGTACCCTTAAAATGCAAAATGTTACCCAGCTATGACAGAGGGACAGGAGTGCGAACCGAAGTTCCTTGTTGGCTAGGTTGGCTGCCGACGGCATGGCCGCAGGGAACGCTTGCTTCAGAGCATGTGACAATGTGCAGCGTAGCGAGAGTTGTGCAAAGCATAAGCGGTCCCCCTGAGTTCAGGTCCTGGATAAAGAAGCACTGAAACACTAACGAGAGCGGCAACGTTCAGGCGCGGAACTACGTGCAGCCTGAAAGCCTGCTTCTTATGTCCTGGCACTGAAGGAAGGAACTTAAACAATCATCCATACCGTATGCTGCGCATCTTCCAGACATGCACTCTGAAGTTCTGAAGCCCCAGCAAGCTGAAAATCACCCCCCCCCCTTGCAGTGCTGACGAGCTGCTCCAACCATGACATCCTCACAGGAACAGGGAAATAGGAAAGGCCGACACCCCGAAAAACAAAGACAAATGATGCATGCTTGCCGCAAACCTGCCGTGGGATACCTTCATCGTCAGCAGAAGCAAAGCAAGGCTTCGGCTGACAGCCAGTCACGATGGCTGCAACTCTCCCACTTCAGCGGTTAAGGCGGGGTATATTGTTTGGTAGTTTGCCACAACTCTGAGACGCGATTCAAATCCCGTGCCCAACAAGACATCTCCGAGCACCTCCAGGGGCGCCAGCAGCACTGCGCCCGGCGTCACGCTCTCGGAGGACCCTGGATCTTGGCTTTGCTCATGGGCCGGGTTCAACTGAGCCGTGAAAGTAAATTGGGAGGAGACTTCTGGATTGGGCTGTGGACAGCAGATGCATTCTAGTCAAACTGCTGCAGTATCTTCGTTTGGCTCCATGTCCCAGAGCCCACGCCTGCACGTTCAAATGCCAGCACCCTCCATCAATCGACACCCTCCGCTACTGCACCGTGCCCCTCAAAAACAGAGGCCGGTGTTCCCGTGTTCTGGAGAATGCCTGAAGTCCCCTCATGGTGTTGGACTGGGCTCCAGGTCTTTCAGCCTGGCTACGGGCCTCATGTTGGAGGGCAGCACTCGGTGCCAGCACCCGGAAAAGCCCAAGCCATTAGGCACCTTGACTCCGAAGCTGCTAAAAACCTGAAGCCCCCAGAAGCATCCCGTCCTCGCAACCTCTCTGCTGCAGCTCGGGTGAACTCCGCGACCTCGGGGCTTTAAAGACATGTCGAGGCATTGAAAAGTTGCCCTCAAGCTTCGGGATATAGGGCCTCAAAGAGCCTTCGGGCTTCAGACGCTTCAGGGCAAGGCTTTTTTTTGCATCGGACCGATGCATAATATGATTGCCTTCTCATGCCTGGTCAAGTTCTGCTATGTTTGGGAGCTCTGCAACAGGAGTTCTGTTGCGTTTTTGCCACTTGGTACACTTCATGGGGCTGTCCAGTTCGCGTGCCACATCTGCCTTCATGCCCAAGCATCGCAGCCTGAGACCCCAATCCCCGCCAGTCGTTCAACCTTACAGCCGTCGAGACTTTGGGATCTTAGGGGTTGGAAATACTAAACGCATGGCATACAGAACCTGCAAGATTTCGAGGGGGCATAGGTCAGAGCCAACTCGTCTTTACAGCCCGAAAAGACCGTTTGAGCTGTTTTTGAAAGCTGCAACATGAGGGTCGATGGATCACAACGAGCTTACACAAGTCCAACAGGAGATTGTCCCGTGCAAAATCTACTCGCACCACATATCCCGGAAAGATGTTCGACCCAACTCTGAGGGATCAGCTTCACGCATTGCCACGGGTTACGATCTCCATGCCGTGGCCGCGTGGATATGCGATTGCACAAATTCTTACAACAAAGGATCAGGGTTTAGGGCTTCGGGTTTAGGGTTTAGGGTTTGGGTTTGGGACTTAGGGCTTGGGGCTTGGGGTTTGGGGTTTGGGGTTTGGGGCTTGGGGTTTGGGGTTTGGGGTTTGGGGTTTGGGGTTTGGGGTTCAGGTATGTCCCGGGAATGTGAACGAAATATGTTGAACAAACCCACAAAGCTCGACCATGGCAGTCCTCAGCCGTGCTCATAATGTCAACTGTCAGCAAGTTTGTCATTGCTAAACTGTTGCCCTCCTTGCTGAAGCTGCAGCTGCGCACTTTTGGTTCGAATTGAATCCATGGCATTGGTCCTGGAAGAGCATCTCTATGTGTTTCCGACATGTGTGAACTCAGGATGATGTCTTGCGCACAAAAACTGCCATGCGTAGGCAACATTCGGAACTACTTGCTCGGGCCGGAATGCGAGTGACCCATGCTACAAAACTGCACGGAACTCCAACCCCCACAATACCCAACAATGGTAAAGCAAGGCAAATAGCTGTTAGATTACTGTCCGAATTCCCTCCGACCCTCCACCGGGACACATCGCACCCCGCGTGGCTTGGAACCTCTGCATCGAGCGCCGCCACGGCGCTCACAAGCCGGTGGCTCACCACCTCGTGTTCAAAGCATGCAACTGATTCGGCTGACTTGCCTTGCCTAAAGAGAATTATTCGAATAATGTTGACGCGAAACCGGCAAGAAACGACCGAGACGAGCACCGACACCAAATACTTTGCGGCCTGCACTGTTGGACTTGGACGTCATGTTTCAACCAACGGCAATTCGCACGCGTCGCGTGGTGAACAAGCCTCCATAATGGCAGCCGCTCCCAACAAATGGGCCTGAGGACTTCACAAAACTGCAAAAAATACTGCAAATCAAAGGCGTTACATCAGCAAACGTAGCCAGTCACTGCCAGGATTGATGATATCTTGGTGCGGCACGACTGCATATTTGTGCACCAGGCCCGCACCCGCAAAAAGCTGCGACATTCTCTCGTCAACGTTTTGCCTTCACTAGAAAGCACCAAGCACACACACATCTACATCATGAATCATGATGTCACCAATTAAACATCAAAACGAAACACAAGTGAGGTCAGCACGAATCCAAGGGCATTTGGTCCGATGAACCTGGGCAGTGTAAACAAGGACAATGCGGTATTCCAATGCTGGGAAACAACGCATGTCACTTTCAGGTACCAGCCAATGGCCCGGAGAACTTCCGGGACAGCCTGCCCACGTGATCTCATCAGCGCATGTTCCAAGGAGGCAGCGCATGCGCCTGCTGCGCTCCCGGGGAGAGACTGGTGTAGAGGTGCTGCAAATCCTGGGCCGGCAAATCATTAACAATGTTCTTATCATTGTTTGTCATGAGCGGCAGCATCGCTCGCAATTGTCGGTGTCAGTTCTTTACTAATACCATTAATAACAAAATAATTTTACAAAAGTGGAAATTGTTATGGAAAGACGGAAAGACATTAATTGTCTACCTGTTTTTTTTTGTTTCCGCGGACCTTTTTCCCTCCGCCGTCATGGTCTGGAGGGTCAGGCGCCTACGGCCGGCCTCAGCGTGGTGCCGCCCCTGGAGGCCGTGCTGTCGCTGGCTGACTGCACTGGGACCCCTGGACCGCGACCGAGAAAAGCTCCCACCAACGGCGCGCACAACCGCTCGCCGCGCTGCGGCGCACTGCTGCCGGCAAGAAAGTGCGGACCTGGTCATTCCAGCGCCCCCCGACCTCATTGCCGAAAACCATCAGGTGCTGTGGGCCGGGCTCGCACAGTTCGAAGGACGCGGACCTCTTCCGATGCTCCGCGTGGCGGCCTAATGCGGCCTATGCCATGGGCAGCAGCTGCCCCTAGTGGCCGCGGAGCGGCAGGCGACTCGGCCCTGCGGTGTCAGCAAGGTCAAGTACCCGATCCAGCTCCGGGCCCTGTTGCTGGCTGGCATGGGGTGGTGCCGGCCATGGGGAGCCCAGGGCTGTGCTCGTCACGGCCTGTTGCACCGAGACGGAAAGGATCGCCCACCACCTGCGCGCCCATGCCGACGACGCTGCGGTCCGCACGGCTGGCGGGGCTTGCTGAGCGCGAACCTGCACGAGGTCACGGAGCAGCTGTCGCGCGCCAGCATTCCCCCGCCCGCCGACCTCCGTCCCTAGCACGACGAGCTGCTGCGGGCCGCCTGCGACCAACTCCGGGTAAGCTGCTCGCTTGCGGTGCTCGGCGACCCGCAGAGCAGCTCCATCATGAGCCGCGGCGCAAGGCTGGGGCAAACCCGTCCGCGAGAGCGGCGAGACCAACATTGCGTCGCAGCAGAGGGCCCCGCCAAGCGGAGTCGCTCCGTAGATGACGAGGTCAAGTTTTCATGACACTGTCATGTTTGCTTAACTGATGTCGGAACTGTTGGGAGGACGGTGCAGCCACAGAGCGCGCTCAAACTCGTGCGCGACCTGGTCCGCACCCGCGCTGCGACAAGCGGCCGCTTCGGCGGGGGCGCGGCGCTGGTGGGTGGTGTCGGTCCAGCAGGCCATCGCCAACATGGCCTCTTGGCCTGCTGCGCAGCGGTGTTGCTGCACCGCCTGGTGGCCACTCAGTCGCGGCGAGGCAGCAAGCCAGTACGCGGCGAAACGATCCCCGAACGCATCTGCTGCCCCGACATTGGTGAGCAGGAAATGTTGCCTGAGGGCAATGTGCATCAGGTCTGGGACGAGGGACGCAGCAGCATCACCCGAAACAGCGTCAAGCCACATACGGGCATGTATTTTTGTCTATGTCCCTGAACTCATGCCCGGAACTCATGCCCATTGCCGGCATCGGAAGGCGGTGTTGTCCCGCAGCAGCTGCTGGTGCGAACAATGGCACCGGGAGCGCGAGCAGGGGACAAGCGCCGCTTGGACCTGGTGGTCTACGGCGCCACGAGCTGGGGTGGCGCCGCTATGGTGTCGCCTTTAACGCGCGACGGTGAGCCGCACCCCCGCCACGCCGAGCGTCGGAAGATATCCACGTACCCCGAACTGTGCGTGCGAGCCCCTGATGGTCCTCGGCAATGAGGTTGGGGGCCGCTGGAATGACCAGGCCCGCACTTTCTTGCGGACTCTGACCGCGGGGCTGCCGCGCTCCCGAAGCAGTGCCCGTCAAGGTCAGAAAGGAAGCTTTCGCATGCTGCGGCATCCAGACAAGCCGTGGCCGCCCGTCGCCAACCGCCACGTCAGTGTGGATGGAATCGGGGCAAAGCGAACGGATAGTATTGATTTTATGCTGCATTGGGCGCTGCTCACTCCGTTCTGCAGCCGGCAGGCGGAGAGCAAGGCTTATTCGGAGTGGGCAGCCGTTGCGGGCCGAACACGCCCCTTTTGAACCAGGTGAAGACCTGTTTGTGTTCCCGGATGAGACATACATTTCTTACCCCACTGCAGGACGCGCTGCAAGGGCAACCTGGAGGGAGGGTTGCTTAGCCTCGGCGAGATCCAGGACCCACCCGAGCGGTGTGCGCTCGTCGCCGGTAGGCTGTGCCGGCGCTCGCCAGCAACCGCCCAACAGCGTCCAGGCCAAGGCGCGCTGCAACGCGCATCCGTGCTGCCCCCACCACCGGTGCTCCCACCCCGTCCGGGCAGCCGCACGCAGCGCCCGCGGCGCGTGCAGGGAGCGCTGTTGTTGCGCGAGGCTGCGGACGAGGTCGTGCGCCTCATCGTCCGCCGACCTCCGCAACCAGGACGACGAGGCGTTACGGGCCCGGGCCGGCCAGTTCAGGGGTAGCACCGTTGTTTGCGCCGCCTCGCACCGTCGATGGCAGCCCAATCCCGATCTGATGAGGCCGGTTGCGGGCGCCCGTCTGCCCTCAGCGGCGAAAGAGTCACATCGCGGCAGAGTGCCTCGCCGCGCCACATATGACGAGGTCGAGTCGGCGCCGGTCATCTGGGGTCCACCACGGCTCGGCAGCCTGGCTCGCCATGTCCACCGCAACGGGCCGACGTCAAGGGTAGCGGCAAGCGAAGGCGTCGCCGGAGGGCGACTTGCATATCCATCGGAAGGAGCTGTGTGCCCTCGTCCGTGGGGATGGCTCGCAACCACTCGCCGGCACGCGCGCCCGCCTGGGAGCGAGGACTTGTTGAGCACGCGAGCTGCCGGCTTCTGCCAGCCGTGAAGCCAACTTCCAGGCTCTGAAGGCTCAGTGTGCATAGGCGGCGGCCGCGCCCCGCGTAGCAAGTCATCATAAGTCAGGCGCGCACCCCACCCTTCGGCGAGCCTCGCATGCCACAGGCCACGACGATGCCATTTGGCATACACTGCTGGATGGTTTGGGAGGGGAGGCACCAGCAGGCCCTTGCCGGCAGCTTTAGGCGGCTGGGGCCTACAGCCAGTCGGCGACGGCTTGGTGCCGGCGGCTTACTGGGCAGTGTGGGCAGTTGCCTTGCAGTCATCGGGGCCAGGCTCCCTGCTTTTGTGGCGTGCTGCGCCGACGCTCCAGCGGAAAAAACGAGGAGGAGCCGACATGGCTTGCCGCTGCCGCCGCACATTGCTCCTTACGGAAAGTTTGGAGGCGTGGACCCATCCGTGGAACCCCAGCTGGGCGATTCGCGGATGGCAGCAGCACGCATCGTCGTTTATGCGACACAACCCTCGTGTCACCTTGATGGGCACGGGCCAGCCGCAACCATGCGCCGCCGACACGGATGGCGCGCTCCGCGCAGCCGAGCGACGCAAGCAGGCGGCCTACCCGGAGCGGGCTCGGCTCGGAGGTCGGGGGTCGCTGGAATGGTGGGGTCCTGCGATTCATGCACGACATGGTCCGCATCCGCGCATGCCGCGCACCGCCTAACAGTGCGTGCGTGGCAACATTGGCAACCTGCAGATCAACAGCGTTTTGTGGGCATCCAATTTGGATTGGAAAAAAATGTAAGTGGGCCTCTACAAACATGTGGCTCCCGAGAAGTGTGCCCAACACCGCTATGCCTGTTCGGCCGGGAGTATCCAATCGCCCACCCATGAAGGTGGGCGGTCCGGATCAGCGGGCACCTCGTCCGCAAAGCCCGCCGGCTCGACGCCCCCTGAATTCTAAATTCTTCTCCCGCCACATCGATGTTAACTGTTGGCGTGTGCGGCTAAAGCGTCGCGTGCAGCAGACCCTGCTGCGAGTTGGGTGAAGCTTTGCGCACGGCTAACGTGGCAGCGCTGCGGGCTTGTCCGGGGCAGCGGGCAGCGGTGGAACACGATCGCTTGCTGCTGGAGGACGAAGAGGCGCTCGACCTGCTAGCGCACGCGGCCACTCTTTTGGCGAATGCCGATGCGCCCGCGCCGTGCTGCAAGCCCTCCCGTTGTCTCGGCTCACCGCCCTTTCTAAGCCTGGCGGAGGCGTTCGCGGGATCGCGACCGGAGACAAGCTGCGCCGACTGGTGTCGCGAGCGTTGGCACGACAGTATGCGGACACGTTCGACCGCGCCACGAGGCCCTTCCAGTTCGCGCTTCAGGCCCGTGCGGGGACGGATTGCTTGGCAGCGATGCTGCGCGTGGCAAGTGAGTTGGATGCCGCATCGTCTCGCCTATGACACTGTCTCCCGGGCCGCCTTCCTGACGAAGCTGTGTGAGGTTGCTCCAGCCCTCGTCCCGTATGTGCGGGCGTGGTACGGCGGCACTTCCACGTAATTTGTGGTGGGACGCCGCGGGCCGGCGACACGAAACGAAGTGAATGCGTGAATTTCATGCGGGCACGAGTGAAACGCCCGTATAATAATAACAGCACAAATGAGTGCACGAAGTAAGCGAATGCGTGCGCCCTTTTCCTTTTTCCTTTTTCCTTTTTCCTTTTTCCTTTTTCCTTTTTCCTTTTTCCTTTTTCCTTTTTCCTTTTTCCTTTTTCCTTTTTCCTTTTTCCTTTTTCCTTTTTCCTTTTTCCTTTTTCCTTTTTCCTTTTTCCTTTTTCCTTTTTCCTTTTTCCTTTTTCCTTTTTCCTTTTTCCTTTTTCCTTTTATTAGTCTTTTGTATCGCGCACGCAGTAAGCATATGATTCGTGCCGTCGCTCTCTTCTTTCTCTCCCTTACAATCATATCCTCACAGCGGTCCCCTTAAAAGCTCAATAAAAGAAAAGAAAAAGGAAGGGCTTTTAAGGGAGCGTGAGGACATGAGTGAAAGAGTGAGAGAAAAGACGAAGCGAAAGAACGAACACGCGCTTACTTCGTTCGTGCTTACATTCACTGCACGCGTCATTCTATTCCTTGTCAGTTCATTTCATTCTCACTTCGTATTATTATTAACCTATCCCGCGAGCATAACATTCTTACCGTGAGCTCGCGAACAGTGAAGAGAATAATATTACTACGAAGGCAGTAAGTTAACGCACGGGCCGCAGCAAAAAATTATGAACGAAACAACAGGAATAATATGATGCGTACGGCGGGCTCATTATAACTTCCTTTTTGCCCGCGTTTCGTTCACAAGTTATCTCGCAAGGTGACGGCTGCGAGCAGGGAGATGCCTTAGCGCCGGCTTTGTAGCCCCTGGCGCAACACGACGCCCTGGCTGCGGCACAAGGGCGATTGGAGCCAGGGGAGTTCCTCGCCGATTTTTTGGACGACCTGTATCTTGTCACCACCCCAGCTCGTGCCCGGCCTGCGTTAGATGATGTCACCCGCACGGTCGAGCGGCATGCGGGTGTCGCAGCGAATCTCGGCAAGACTCGGGTCCATCGGCCACCGCCCGATGTCGAGGCGCTCGGGCCCGACGTCTGGTGCGGCGGTGACAATGAGCCGGCGACTTGCGGCTTCGTTGCGCTGGGCGTGCCGATCGGGCATACGGAGTTCATGCGACGCAAACTCGCGGCGAGATTCCCCCGATGGACTCGGCCGCCTATGCGGCAGAGCACGATCGGGCAGTTTGGATGCTTCCTCCCCCCGGCATCTGGCGGCCTCGGGCTAGCCAGCGCGGAGCGACTAGCCCCCGCGGCCTACTGGGCGGCTTGGGCGGACGCGCTCCCGGTAATGCTGCAAAGACGCCCGGAGGCCGCTCGTAGAGACGCGCAAGAACTCGCTCTTGGCGGCGGGTCGACTGCGCCTTGCCTGTGGGCAGCTGCGGCAGCGCGATGATTAACTGTGGTGTCTTTCGTGCCAGCGGCCATCCCAGTTTGCGCATTGAAGGTCTGACATCATGGGAGAAATGGCTGCGTGTCTGTGATGCTGCCAGCTTCGGTGTCCCGTGTGGCCGTGCGAGATGCAGGCTTCTCTGTATCATATTGCCCAGATGACATGCTACTTTCATGGTGAGGAACAGATCATGGTGAAGCACAGGTCACGCGAGAGATGTTACTTCCGTTGTGTGACGCTTGGACATGTGTCCTTGGACGCCAGTCCTCTCAAAGGCAGCCTGGGGCAGAATTTTCCACGGCGTTGGTTATCACCAATGGGAGGCAGCAGGCGCACGCGGCACAAGGTGATGTTCAAACGGGAACGCACGTGGCTGGAGTCGCACTTACTTTTCAAGGACATGAGGCCAATACTGTGTTGCTGGTTCCATTTTTTGCGTCAGATGCAGCAATCTTCAGCACGGTGGTTAGTTGACATTTCCACTGGTGGTCGGCCTCAGGGTGTCCAATTTTGCTCTCTGCACGGGCACTCATGTCGCAGGCATTAAGCTACAGGTCGGCTGCCCTCACGCGCGGAGGGGCGGGAGGCTCGGGCCATTTGGGGCCGCAAGCTCCAGCACCCGCTCCAAGCGTAGGTCTGCGTGCTGCCACGCACATCCCAGCGCAGTGCTTGTTATACGGCGTGCTGCGCGGCCAGCCCGCGCCCGCCGCTGACCAGAGTGCGGGTGGTGTGCGCTTCGCTCGCACGGGGAGCAGGTCTCGCACGAAGCGGTGGGCATCTGCGTTCAGCCGGGGAGGTTGCCTGCAACCACACGCAGCACGGCCCCATCGGCTTCAGCGGCGCCGGGCTGCGGCTGATACGTGGTGAGTCGCAGCACAGTGCGCCTCCCCGTGTCGTGAGCCTTCTTCTACCGCGCCACCTTTGAATGTCAACGCCGTGACGCGTGTGTGCCGGCGCACTTCATGTCCAAATCCGGTTGCAGATACAAGTCGTACCAATTATTGCACCGCTCACTGCACCAGCCGACGTTGTCCTTTGCACAGGATACTGGTCGATGCATTGTTCCAATCGTCGATGCTTTCGTGCCAGGATGCTGCAGTAGGTTTGCGTGCTCTTCCATTGTTGCATTCGACCCGCGTTTGTCGCCGCAAGATTTTCGGAATGAAGTGGGGCACAAGCAAAGGCAGGACCTAACGGCGCTGCGCATACCCGGGCCACGATGCCGCAAACCGAGCTGCGCGCGGGCTTGCGTGGGCTCTTAGACCCGGTGTCAGCAAACAAAAGCCACAACCTGCGAGCGCTGGAGTTCGGGAAGTTGTGTGGCCTTCAACATAACGATGCTTTTCGCACTATGGCATTCTTCAACTGTCGTCCCTTAGGCAAAGAAACCGCGGATGATATGTGCTCCTTTCTATTATTTCTGCATCTTCAAACCCACTTGGGAAACGCTTTTGCCCCTGAAAAAAACCCGAAAACTCTCACTCTAGGACACGACACCCTAAACCCCAAAACCCCAAAGCCCTAAACCACTAAACCCTAAATCCTCTTAAACGCCTCTAAAAGCCCTAAACCCTAAAACCCTAACCCCTAAGCCCCAAGCCCCAAACCCTAAACCCTAAACCCTAAACCCTAAACCCTCAACCCTAAACCCTAAACCCTAAACCCAGCCTTCCGGGGGTTTCGGGGTTCGCAGCTTTGGAGACCCAGGTCCAGGAAATCCCAGTTTCGGCCATCCAGGTCATCTAGGTTTATGTGGTCAACCTGGGGTTCAGGGTTCAGGGCTTCGGGTTTAGGGTTTCGGGTTTGGGTTTTACGGTTTTGGGTTTTGGGTTTGGGGTTTGGGGTTTGGGGTTTAGGGTTTAGGGTTTTAAGGCTTCTATGTGGACTACATATGGCTACTTGAGGGGTTCTGTAAAGGGTGTTACATGATTGCAGAAAGGGTGCCCTACCGGGCTTATGTGGTCCACATGTTCAAGCTGTCCTTGAGGGTTGTTTTGGTTTACTGTTGGTTTAGAGTCCAGGATTTCGGGTTTTTGGTTGTACGTGGTCCACATGCGCAGATTGTCCGGCTCCCCAAATGTCGGAGACCATGAACTTCTTGAAGGGCTCCTCCAAGCCCAAACCCCAGCAGCGCGTGATCATCTCGAAGAAAGGTCTTGAGGTTTCATCCATGTCGAACTCGATGCTGCGAGAAGTAAGGGGCCTACCATGATACTCCTCTTTGTCGTCCGAAGAAGAAGCCAAAACATCTCGAGAGTCTTAATGCAGGGCAAGTACACTCGAAAAGTGTCAAGTCTGCACGAACTCAACTACCAAGTCCTTCGTGGTAGAGCTCCGGTTATCCGTGGCAAAGGCCTGGTCCACATGATCCAGCAACGGCTGGGGAACTGCCTCATCCACCACCCACACATGAGGAAGAACTTGAGAAGCCTTCATCGCCATGGGTGTGGACTTATCCCGAGCCCTCACAGAGAGCTTTGCACAGAAATCGTGCTACTTTGGACTGATTAGCCAAGAGGCTGCAGGAGATGAACCAACAATTGGCCTGATTCTACGTAACAACAGGCAGAAGACGCTATGTGTCAGCAAGTTCATCTTGTTTTGGGAATGTAAACACATGAATCAGAAAAGGGCGATGTCCGTGGTAGTACTGCAACTGTAGCTCAATTTGTTCGGGATTTGCTAGGCCTGAGGTGGAGAGCAAGACCTAGCCCGAAGCACAAACAGGAGCAGCAAGTAGGCAATTCAGCACGCCCGTGGCATGCTCCCGACCCTACTCCATCTAGGGCGAGCGGGCGGGATGTCAGGCAGCGAGCTCTTTAGCATGGCTTTGGGTATCGACAAGGCATCCCCCTTGGTACCGCCGCGAACCATGTGCGAACTTCTTATGCTGAAAGCGGCTTGTCGGAAAATGGGCCATGCCAGGTCTTGACAGATCCCTCTCGGATTTTAAGAAACCTGCAAAGCTACAACATACGAGATTGCTCGCGGACGGTTCGGAACAACGTGCCAAGACAGCAACTCTTGAAGCCGAGGGCGGATCAGAATGATCATAAACTGCTTCCCCAGACTCATCAGCCAGTGGCGCCTCATTTCACTTCACAAGTCACGATTGGATGCAGCACACTCGAGAGCCTTCAAAACGCAAAAGGGCTTGGTGCTCGACGAAAAAGGCAGCTCGCTGCGCAAGGGCAACCTTCGGTTGAGCTTGCATGCCCAATCGCTATTTCTATTGATGGACATTTGCTAACGGAGAATGAGTGCAAACGATCGCAACACCCAAAAGTAGCTTGCCGCAAGCGATTCTGCGCTGTGCCCGGAAGGGCGGACAATGCAAGGTTTCGGGGTGTGCATTGCGCATTGCTAGGCCATGTCCTTACCGATCGGTTCGCCGGCCTTGCAGACTTCAACAGCACCACCATCGGGCCTTTGGGAAACTTCAGCTTTCCCCATTTGTGTATGAAATACTTGTTTCAACAGGGCAGCTTCAGATTCAGGGAGGTCGCACTGGCACAAACGCTGAGCAGCATGAGTCGACTGAGGGCTTCATGTGCAGGTTTGGACCGGGCCGTTGAAGATTGCCCAAACCCTAAACCCTAAACCCTAAACCCTAAACCCTCCTCACATTCTCCAAGGGCACTGCAGGGCGAAGCGCACCAGGCCCTACCAGATCAACACTCAGCAGCGACGTGTACATCAGTCTTCGTGCATGTGAGGTTCCATGGCCTGGCCTCATACTGGGTTTTGAGGTTTGAAGGGCTTTTGCAGGCTTTTGATACGTTTTGCTGTGGAATCAATGTAAGTATTCCGGTTCTGCAAGCCATGCTGGCAGCGCAATGAATACAGAGTTCAGGCTTTTGGTGTTCGGGTGCAGGGTTTAGGGTTTAGGGTTTTGGGTTTAGGATTTAGGGTCTGGGTTTAGGGTTTAAGGTTTAGGGGTTTAAGGTTTAGGTGTTCGGGATGGTTAGGGGTTGGGGCACAAACTCTTCTGAAGTGATGCTGCTGCAGCCACGGTGCCTCCGGCTGTCCCACCTGACAGCAAACAGAGTTTCGACCTATGCACCGTTCAAGCACCTGCATACTGGGGCACGGGCCATGAGTTCTGTAGATCTGAGGTGCACAAAGATGAGGATGCGTCTACTGTACCATACTGTACCCAAAACAGCTTGTGCTTCGTTGTTGGGGGGACACAGATATGTCGATCAAGTCCCGAAAGTGCTTGGCTCCTTGTTTGGCACTGTTGTTGTTCTGACCTATTTGATACTACGTAGCACCAGGTGGCCAGAATCGCGTTGCAGAGGAACAACTTCCAACGTACACATGACTCAGAAATCATCTCGTCAAGCCTTTCTTCGAACTGTCGCTGCTCGTTTTGGCGGCCTTTGCACCTGATCTGACTGCTTTACAGTCCTCCGACTACTACAGTGAGACGACAGCTTAAAGCCCAACGCAGGTCAAACGGGTTCTGCGTTTGCCGGAAAGCGCTTCCGGCAGTGTCACTTCGTGCATTCGCGACTGCCTCCGTGAGATTTTTTTCAGCTGGCATGCGCGAACCGAATTTATGTCCACGCTGTACCAGCCTTGAGCTGGGCAGTAAGGACCTTGTTCTTTGCACGACTTCCCGAGGATTTCGATGCATTGAGATGCTCAGTGATGCTCAAAGCTGACCTTGACGCCTCCGCGCCATAGCCTCCCTGTCTCGTTTCCACATGGCCATGCTGCGCTGCCCCATGGGCCTGCCATAGGTGAAGACGAGGTCTTCACCTAAAGCTGGCGCTTCATCAGGGGGGCAGAACGTAGGAAACCAGGTATCTAAATTCCAGTACCCTCTCCAACCATCGAAGATGGATCCGGCAGGCAAGTATTCGTAGAAGTGACCCATGAAGTCACGTGAGACCTTCATCTTGGACTTCACACTCCAATCGTGGACAAAATGTCGCTCAGACAACGCCAGCCACTGCTCAGCGGATCGGAGGTGTTCCACTTGCATCATTTGTTTGCGCCTCGCACAGGCTTGATGCTAGGAAGACTGACTATAAGAACTGTTCAATGACATTTCTGCGCCTACTCCTCTCCACCTGCAAGAGCTGCTGGAATGCCTGCAGGACAGGCGCTGAACAGGCGCTGAGCATGAGACGCCAAGATATGTCAAGACCATTGCGCTTCCTCGGTGCGTGGTTGACGGCACACGGCTCGAAGGGAAGCAAAACTCTGAACCTGGGAAAGTGTCTTTTCTGCACGATGTTGCAGGATTCTGCATGGCTTTGCATGACACAGAGGAATGGTGATGTCGCCACGGCGCAGGGAGAAATGGAGACAGCTCTGCAAAGAACCTGAGCCGGCCAACCCAATCATCACGACAACAACGCATGAAAATATTGAATATGTACGCAACATCATGTCGGGCATGGAGTTTGTGTTATTCTATACTGTGTGCACGCACACGCAGGCACGTGCGCGCGCACACCACACATACCTTTGAATACCCCGGCCTCGAAATCCTCGCAAGGAACATCCTTGCAAAGAAAGTCCTCAATTTCAGTCTCAGTGGCACTGGACGAAATCGCTGCCAGGCATGCTGCCGCTCAGGTTCTGTTTTCGTCCTCCCGCCCACATTCTCAAAAAAGGGACTCGCAATCTTCTGCCATGGTTTGTGCTTTCTGCACCAAGGCCGGGGCTCTTGAAGTTGAGACCCAACATCCCCAACATCCACCACCTCTGGGCCATGCAAACGCGGGCAAACACTGGCAAACACTGAGCACACAAAAGGCAAAAGGCAAATGACTACACAAAACCCTCACTGCATGGAGCCCTGACCCGACCTCGCTTGCAGTGGACACGCAAACCTGTCAAGCAACCACTTGTGGTTGTCCCAATCAGACATGTGCAGCTAAAGACATGTCGACAGGCAAACTGCGATCGCGCACCCGGCACTCGAAGGTTTTGATGAAGTTCTCGACCATGTCTAGCGCAGGAACAGCCTGACGGCATCATGACATGCACATGCTCTCAAAGATCACAACACAACTGAACCTGATTGAACTTCACAGGCCTCTTCACTTTGCACGTCAAATGCCAGTTCGTGATCCTATCGAGACACCAGGCAAACGCAAATGGAATCCAGGAGTGAACATGTCATGCTCGTTGACATTCGCGAAATGCAGCAAATCATGCATCTCGGTGTGCCGTCCTGCACGTTCGGCTCGGTGCATGATTCTTTTCGCAGCACGAACCTTTGCAGGAACGTCGCCTCTGTGATCCCCTGAAACTGGTACTGAAACCCTGCACTTGGACTGCCACACACCATTCAGCCCTTCGCAAAAGCACAGCTCAAAAACGCAGCAGCATGCCACCATGTTGTGTTGAAAACCAGATGCACAACATTGCACAATAATCGCTCAGGCCGAAACATGGAAAGCATTGCATGCCAACATCCACGACCAAAGCACACCGGAGAAGCACGTGAGCCAACAGCTATCCGTCAAGATGTGCACTTTACACGCACAATACATATGTGTCGTGTTTGCCAATTTTTCTTATGTGGAAATATCATTTGCAGTGAAAGGCTTGTCGCAACGTGCGAAACGTCCCAGCCATGTACGAAAACACGCATTTACATCACAACATCAAGAAAGCAGCAATAAGGAAAATACTTCTAGCCTTAAGCTATGTGGCTTCCTTGCACATGAATTTACATGAAGCCAACGGTTTCTTCCCTAAAAACTCATTTCCCCCAATGCAAAGCCCCAAAATAACGCCTCAAAAGTTTTAAGAGCGGTGGGGTTCAAGGATTCTTCTTCTTATCTTTGCCTAAGCCTAAATAGGGAAGCCATCAGAAAGCGCTTCCCAGCCACCCTTGACCGAGTAAAATTGTTGACTGCTGTTTTGGCTGAAAAAATTCATGTTTTGGCAACAACATCAACAAAGTGGCAAGTCCGTGCATTCCAGATGTGAAACATGGGAGACAGAGAGAAAATCAGCCCTTGAATCAGACGCATTCCAGCAGGTGAACACCTGATGGGCAGAACACTGCATCACAGCACAGAGAAAAAGTGAGCAGTCTCACCTTAGCAGTGCGAGACGCTGCTCTTCGACCCCTTGTTGTGTGAGCTTTCAGAGGCGTTCCTACATGTGGTGAAGTGCGCAGACGCAACACCTCCATTTGAAGTTGAGGGGCAAGAGCGCTTGCATTGCTCCGCCCGTACAGGCAGCTCATACATCTTTCACTAATGGCAGCATGTAGCAGTCTGGCATGTGAGCGAGGCGGCCGTCTCCATTCTGCAAAGTTTAACTGAAATGGAGACTACCAAACAAGTAACAGTCCAACACACAACATGCAAGTGTTAATGGACGGGCCTTTCCAAAGCATCGGAAGTAATTCTGGCATAAAATAAGAACTAAGGTCACAAGTCAACCTGAGTCAACCTGAAGTCTGCGTGAAGCCAGGTGTTCGTCCCTTTACAGCGCACAGTGGGCATGTCGTTGGTGTGCGGGTGAAAACAAGTGCGCAAACCAAGCTCTCTTACTCGGAACATATTGCCCAGCCTCAAACTTCTCACAAGAGATCCGCAACTCAATCAATGCACTGCTTTCAACATGGACATGATGCGCAGATCTTCTTGGACCCCGGTTTGGCGGTGACATTCTTCTAGTGGAATCAAAATAGTTTTCTGTGCTCGCTTGCGCTGAGGTGCATTGCTTCCTGTACTCGTTTGCGAAACAGCCTGTCGGGGATCTATAAAAATAGAAAGGGCAGGTCAGTTCCCATCCATCTTGTGACGTCTGAAAGAGAAGAAGCATGAAAAACTTAAGGTCGTTCGGTTACCTTTTGCGTTGAAAACACAAGGTTAAAACCCCAGCATACCCCAACTCCCCAAGGCACGCAGGCAGTCACTCTTTTTCTCAGTCTTGACAAACAATCACCAAGTCCGCAAAAACGTCAAACGAATTCACATGTGCTTTGCACTGAGCGTCAGAACGTCCTACTCTCGGCAACAGCTCACACTTGAACGAATTCTTGCGTCTTGGGCAAAAAAAAGAAAATCTGATTTGCCAAGTAAGTCATGTGGAATGAACCTCAAAAAAACCCAGTAAGAGAGTTCCTGCAATCAAACCTAAAGTTGTCAGCAATACGTGCAGGCACTGATTTGAAAGAAGAAGAAAACTTCTAAAGGAAGAAGTATTCTAATTCCACCCTCAGTTTCTCGTCTTTGAACCTTTAAAGAAGAGTAGAGCAAAGTCCAATTTTACCTCCTAAAGGGAGCTTCCGATTTCCTCAACAACTTCAAACTTGATAAAGCCCCGCTGTAACTTGGAGAGAGAAAGTTCGGACTGGTCCTTGAGCCGGCATCAGCGCAGCCTGAACCTCTAACCTAGGCGACGCTTTCCCCAAGTTCACCGAAATCACGCAAAAATTTGGTCAATTTTCTTGAGGCGTGGTTCGTAACTCTTTCTCCGCCGCGGAAATGTGCGTTACCAGTTTTCTTGACATAATATCTGAAGGATTCGATGAAACCCACACGTTTAAACCCATCCTTGAAGATGGATGCATCAAGCCGACCACGGATATTAATACTGTTTGCATCAACACTCAAAAAAAACAAAAAACGCCGTTGATACGCGTGTTCTTGGCTTGCTAAACTTGTCTGCAGCTGGCATTCAAGACAAAGCAGTCTTGTATTGTTCGTGTGCAATCTTCTTGCAGAAAAACAGCCAAAAACCACGAAATGCACATTCTTATAAATGTTTTTTTAAGTCTAATTGTGTTCTTTTTTGCTGGTCAATCGACAGCTTACCGGCTAACAGCACTAACCAAAACACTTGTCGAACGATCTGTTTGTGTTTTAATTTGGGAAACTCTGTCCATGTCTGCCTCTAAGAACACAAGTAAGTCTGTCAAAGTTGTTGGATCCAACCTTTAAGCAGTGTGCAAGTGTTCTGTTCTTGTAGTGGTCATAGCTAACGACGTGAAAGAGTTAATAATGTGCACTATAAATATGTGGGACTTTTCCCTGCCGTCTTTGCTTGTGTGTTAGGGTTTAACCAGAGCTTTGAAGCCTTCAAATTGAAAGCTGGTTTTGCACGCCGATTGGGCGATAGTGTTCCTCTTTGCCAGTTTTGGCTGGCTTACAAATGAGAAGGCACGCTGTTGGATTGTGGAAACCAGTGCCGATCAAGCACATGGCAGACCCCTTGTTGCAATGATGTTGGAGCAAAGGCAGATGGCATGTTCTGGGGAAACGACTTTTCTAAGCGGAACATGTTGCAAGTGCCCCCACCTCACTGGGGATTATCGGTCCATTTTTGTTAGCGGAATGACTGGTAGAGGTGCAAGCGCACCAACCTCTGTTACGGGCAGCATTGTCCACACCACCCATTTTGTGTGCAATAACCGGCTTGGAGATGGAGCAAATCAAAGAAAGCCAAGGCAAGCAGACGAGATATGTGGAGCCCTCGTTGGGCTTTCTCTGGCGTGCATGCATCAGCCGCGTGGTCGTTTTAAGCTGCGCCAGTGGTGTTAGCAGCAGCAGTGAATTTGGCAGTAAAGTGGCAATGGAACTCTCTCTTGTATCTGTGTTTCAAAACTGGCCTCTGTTGTGGCGTGGCCTCTGGCTGTTTGGTTGTTGGGGCAAGTCCTTCCTCCCTGATTTGGCAGGACCTCGTTCCAAAACGCGGTCCTGAGGGCTTAGGGCTGGCTTTTAGAAGGGTCAAAAGTGCCCGTAAAATGCGCGCAAAATCTTTTGGGCCATGGTGTGGCCTGGCGGGGTCGGAGTTTGCCAGCTCGGCCTGACTTCGAGCGAGTTCCACGTGGCTTTAGAAGCAAGTTTCATTGCTTGTTTTCGCAACATGGCAATTCGAGTTCTTTCAGCTGTGAACAAACTTCATCGGAGCAGCGTCGAAACGATTGCGGCGTGTATGCCGCCAGCGCCCACAAAAGACCTTCATGTGGCTCAATTTTACGAAAGCGTCGTGCGTTGAAAGACGTTGGTCATGAGTCATGAATGTCAAGCCATGAACCTTTGAGCTCACGAACTTTGTCATTTTTGCTCACTTTTTCGATAGAAGTTCTTGCATCGCCCTCAATCCACACCCTGCCTCCAGTCATGGCATGGTTCCGTTTCCCGACCATGTTTTGCATGTCGCGACGCAGTCCGATTCGAGGATTCAGCAGCACCTCGATGGAAGTCCAGGTTCCGTTTGGATATCGGTGTCGCGAGAAACGATTGATTGCTACGCATGCTACTTTCATCGAGGAAGCTTTGCACACTTTCGGGCCGCCCGGGGCATTGCCTCCATAAGCGAAAAGCCCTAAGGTGCAGTACCGCTCATATGCTCCGGATCCTATGGCTCATTGGCGACCACGCCACGTCTATTGCTGCGACCAAACCTTGAGCAAGGAAACCATGGAGTTTGTGTAACAGCTTCGCACGCGGATGAAAGCACGGGATTCAGCTTAGTCTCCCCAAACACCCTCAAGCGCCCTGCCGTTAACCCGAAACTGTTGCACAAGCACAAGTTAGGGGACGTCCTTTGGCTTCGGTCCTGGATAGAAGCCGAGGTGTTTTTTTGCCTGTTCGCAGCAACAAGCACAGCAAGCAACGCTAGACTGCCTTATGGGGTTGACTTAAGGCACCCTGTAGCGCCCAGAACTGAATGAACTTGGGCGCTTAGGCTAAGGCCCTGCATTGAAAAGCCCGAAACCGAGGTTTTAGAGTCTAAGGGGTTTAAGGGACTGGTTGCAGTAATGTCTGAGAAAATTGTGGAGTTTACGAAGTCACAGGCCTGCACAAAAACTTCCATTCGGACCCCATGCACATAGCCCCGACGCAAGCGCAGGAGCGAAGTCTACAGAATCTTTTTCGCGAAGCTGCAGAACTCGTAGCAACTTCAGGGCTTCCAGCACTGCCTGCAAATTCATTCACCTTGTGACAGAAGACATCAATGGCTGCAGCACATTACCGATGAAGGCTGAATTTTTTGGCCATCCATCAAACTGCTGGCCAAACTGAACCGGGTCTTTTTGGCCAACCAGATCAGTCATGAGGATCTGAATGTCCGTCTCCTGCGAAGCCCTCGTGAAAACTGGTTGTCCCAGAAAATCGATCCACTTAAATTTGTCACCGAGCAAAACTACGTTTGCGAGGCGTGGGTCTCCATGGACGAAGCCTTTCAAGTGTAGTTGGCGCAAGGCTTCGACAAGGTCTCGCCACTTCGCCTGGGCCGTGTCGACTGGTACCGGCGTACCAACATCACCGAGGATGTGAAACCATCCCAGAACCTTGTCGCTTTCTACGACCTCGATGCAGTCTGATGAAGGAGCCACTACTGGGCAGCCCTGCTCGCAGGCCCTCTTCATGACTTCGACCTCCGCTCCGGGGCTGAATCCGGTTGGCACGCCAACTGCGAGAACGGCCTTGATGGCAATCCGTTCAATTTCCTCATCTCGCTTGCGTTGCGCTTCCAAAACACGTCCGAATGCTCCGCTGCCTAGGAAAGCAATGGGAACAGCGCCAGCCTGTCGCAGAGATTGGCGCAACAACCGTTCCCATGGATTGTACTGAGAAAGAAAATCGCGTAGGAGCTTTTTCCCTCCAGGAGCGGACCAAGCCCCACAAATCCTTTCTAAGAGCGCTTTGCGGCTCCCAGGTTGCCCAGCCACGTGGTACAGCTCAAAGCCGCGTTTATCGAAAACCATGCCCCTTGCATGCTTGGAAGGAAGGCGACATAGATACTCATACAGCTGACCACGGCTGTCATCCTTGATCGCCAACTTCGCTTCAAAGACAGACACACAATCGAGCATCTCCTTGTACGGCGTGCCACTAGATGCATTGCCATCGCACACCATACATCGAAACAAATCAGGTGACAAGCCGCTTCCAGGCCAACGGCGATTTTGCGAGTCGACGATCTTGTCCTCTGGGAACAACGATCTCAAGATGGGCAAAGTGAAATTCACCAGGTCCTTCTCCGTGCTCTGCCCGGTAAGACTGCTTAGTTGTTTGGCATCAAGGACAGGCTCGCCAGTGCGTTCCCGTAGTTCTTGATCTTTGGTGTCGGGTCCATACGCGTCTTTCCACAGAGCAGTCCGAGAGACCGTCAGCCCGGTGACCATTGCTTCCTTTACCGCTGCTTTCACCACCAATGCCATGTCTGTCAAAGTGCTTTCAACCTGAAGGCAATGACACAGCTAACTGACATTAGATACGTTTGCTGGCCCCTCAAGCACAAGCAACGACACGCCTTAGAGTGAAAGACAATATAACGAAAAGAATGCTCCTCTTTGCAACCAGATTTGTGTGAAACCTGAAGCTGCCAAGAGCCCTCTGCTACACAGCGCAGACACCATAACGACGAGGGGCTGAGAGGAAAGCATTACCCCAAAAAGCAACAACGGTGGACCCCACGAAAACGCACGACGACCAAGAGCCCCGGGCAGGCAGGAGTGCTACAAACCACCCAAGCAGAAGCCCCCGGCCCGCACTCGTCTTGCCGGAACCCCACCGCTCGGCAAGGTCCGTGTGCTAAAGGCAGGCACCAAGAACCCAGGTCCCTTGACTCCCCCTCACGGACTAACCTGAAAGTCGAGCCTCAAACGAAAGCAACCGCAACCTGGAGAGCGCAAAGCAGGCGCAAAACAGGCCACTCCCCGAAGAGCTGCAAGCCAACACAGTGAAGCTTAGCGACGAGCGGAATCCTTGCTGAGAGGAGAGCATGACCCCAAAAACCAACAATGGTGGACTGCACGAACTGCACACGCAGAAGCGCAAAAGCACCGCCGGCCTGAAGGGGTGCTGTTGATTTGGCTTTCTCGAGCTCCTCCCTGGCCTTTCTGGCCTCCTCCTTGGCCTCGTCGAACTCTGCCTTGGCCTTTTCGAACTCTGCCTTGGCCTCCTTGCGCTCCTGCTCCCAAGTCCTTTTCTCATCTTCGTCGCCGTTCCGTACGGCTTCTCGAAACTGTTCGAATGCAAAGGCCCGCGCCGCTCTCGCCTCCTTCAGATCCTCCTCGGCGCCTACCCATCTCGCCAAAGCCAGCTCCAGAAACTTCCGCGCATTAGCAACCTGCCAGGTCCAGTGGCAGAACAAGGTTCTCACGGAGCGTAGGTCGGAGCTTGAAGCTTTCACGCCCTTCAAACTTCAAACTCGGACATTGCCAGCCAGCTCTGGCCTTCTCGGTGGATTCGTCGAAGCCTTCGTCCTGTAAAAACCACAACCACGCCACGAATGCTAGAAAATACCGGCTCTGAGACGTGCTGCAGGCATCAACCCACATCAAACAAACAACTGTGTTAGAGCCGGAGCACCTGCTTGATCTCCTCTGTCTCCTGAACCGTCTGCTGCAGCTGCTCGTCCTGGGCAAAAGCCACAATCTGCAATTGCGAACTTCAGAAAGCCCTCTCAGACTCAGCCCGCAATGGCCCACAACAAGCAAGGCAAAGCAAGCAACAACACCCTCGGAGGCACAGCCTGCTTGGCATCTTCAACCGGGTCAGCAGTCTGTGCTGAGGCAGCCTGCATAAGCAACCCCTCAAGCTCATCGAAATGCGTCTGAAGCTCCCTGGCCCACCACACTGAAAGGACAAGAACCACTTAAGCAAGAGACATCGCAAAGCGCCTCGTCCACTGCCTTGTTTCGCGAAACCTGCAGCAAGGGGCACATTCTCAAAAATGCTAGTGTCAGCGAGCCTTCACCGCCTGATCGAAGCTTGCTAGAACTGTGAAGCCCTCACCAGCAAGAACGCCTCGGTCGTCGCCTCTGCTACGTCATCCTTTTCTGAGGTGGCCTCCCAACATGGACTGATCCCGAGAAGACCTACATGTGCTGCTGGCAGGACCGTTTCATGCAAGCATGAGACCCTCGCAATCAATCCCTCGAGCTCCTCGAAATTCGTCTGATGCTCCCGCCGAGCAGCTTTCGATGCGAAATCCGAACACACGCCGAAAGGACAAGCAAACCTCGCCTTATCTTCGTCTTCACGTGGTTGCAGAGACCCCTGGTCAGAAAATGACACTCTGGCAGGAGCGAAGGAAATGCCATCAGAACAGCACAAGGAACGCCACGCCGAAACGACAAACCCTTTTCGCCTTGACGTCTTCATGGTCTTCGGCCTTACCACGGCCCAAAGTGCCATCAGTCTCAGCTCTTCAGGACATAAGCTTAATACAGAATTTCCTCTCGGTCTCGGCTCCCCGCCTTAGCCCTGCGTGCGACGCGAAAGTTGTGTGCCCATATTCCCGCAGTAACCGACCTCGCTCTGGCTTGCGCATCTTCGGCACTCCATGCCATACATCACATCCCACCTCGAAAACGGCACGGCCCCCGCTCCAAGCAAAGCCCGCGCCGTCCGCGTTGCTCGCCTGAAGCTGCTCGGGAACACTTCTAACGCTGTTCAATGCGCTGGTCTTAGGCTCTGGCAAACACACCAGGAACAGCGCCAGTAGCACCACCACGCGCCCGACCTTGCGCGATGTTGCTGGAGGCCTGCTCATGGCGGCAGTCGTCCTGCTGGTCCTAGCTGTCCTCTGGCTCGAGCAAAAGGCAATCTGCATGAACGAATGGTCAAGCTCCACCTGTTTCAGTTTGACTGCTGGCTCATCCCTCCAAGCCAGCCGGAGCAAGACTTCAGGAGGGGTTGACACGGAGCTATGTTTGTGTGTGTGCCCGAGGCCTGGGGCGAACCGGCTTCGAGACAAGCTGGCTTTTGGGTTTGGGGTTTAGGGGGCCACGAAGACGTTGTCACGGACGGCATCATGTCGACAAATCAAGGCAGTCTTACAAATTTCACGCAGGGCCGATCCGTAACGGTCTGGGCAAGCGTGTCTGAGCGGCTGATCAGGAAGGCCGGGACCTGCTTCGGCAGCTCGCCCAGCTTTTGGTGCGAAAACATGGCCTTGCCGATGGTGAACTCCGGGCGCACCACGTTGACCTCATGTTCCGCGATGCCGGTCTGGGCGACGGCTCGAGTCGTCGGTGAAAGAGCCGCCACACTCTTGCCGGCGAGATGGATCGGAATGCCCCGCTGCAACTCAGCACGCACCATTGCTGGCAAGACTCCCCAAGGCACGGGCTCGGTCTTCGCCCGCTTCTTCCCGGGCTCTGTCGGCTCGGCGGGCTTGAGCACTATGCCGCTGTAGGAACGGCCAAGCCCTTGCAAGGTGGTCCCGAAGGAGACGGGTGGCACACGGGGATTCGGCCCACGCCGCTGCTGCTCAAGTTGGACACCTCGTACCCGCTCGTACCCGGCTCCTCCAGGAAGTGGTTGTGACGTGTTGGCGAAAGAGCTGCACCGCGAGCGGGAGCTTTGGAAAGAGGCTGGCGATCGGCTGTTCGGCTCCTCCTCCTGGACCGGCTCCATTGCTGTCTCCTCCGAGCTGGACATGGTCTCCGGGACCTGCACGGCTCCCGTAAGCATTTTTGGCAAAGGTCGTCCTCCGGCCTCGCGACTTCCAAGAGACGCAGCATCTGCTCGGCAACACGGGCTCGGCACAGCAGCCGGCGGTCATCGCCAACTTTGTGCACTTTCTGGCTAACGGAGTGGATCACCGTGGCTCCGGGTGCAAAGGCCTCCATGGTGGCACCCAGCTTTCGCTCCAGCCGAAATCGAATCTGACACGCAAGCCCCTTGCACAAAGCACCCAAGCTTGTCCGGCACACACGATTGCAAGAAAGAGCTGGCATGTGCGCCTCGAAGCCAACTCGCCCAGACCTTGCACGCAAAAACAGCTCATGGACCCACACCCTGCTTGCAACACGAACGCAGACTTCCAAATGCCCCCTCTCCCGGACGTGAAAATGTGAATCCCGCCCTCCCACTACCCGGAGGTGAAAACGTGAAAATGTGAATCCTGCCCTCCCCGCACCGGACGTGAAAACGTGAAAATGTGAATCCCGCCCTCCCCCCCCGGACGTGAAAACGTGAAAATGTGAATCCCGCCCTCCCCCCCGGACGTGAAAACGTGAAAATGTGAATCCCGCCCTGCCCCTACCCGGAGGTGAAAACGTGAAAATGTGAATCCTGCCCTCCCCCCCGGGACGTGACAACGTGAGAATGTGAATCCCGCCCTCACCTCCCGGACGTGAAAACGTGAAAATGTGAATCCCGCCCTCCCCCCCCGGACGTGAAAACGTGAAAATGTGAATCCTGCCCTCCCCGTCCCGGACGTGAAAACGTGAAAACGTGAATCCTGCCCTCCCCGTCCCGGACGTGAAAACGTGAAAATGTGAATCTGCCTCTTTTCCTGTCATTTTTTGCCATTTTTCGCGCCAAAATCGCCCAAATTCACGAATTCACGTTTTCACGCTGGCCTTCCCGGCCTCCCAGCCTCCCAGATTCACGCTTTCACGTTTTCACGTTGGCCTTCCCGGCCTCCCAGATTCACGTTTTCACGTTTTCACGTTGGCCTTCCCGCCTCCCAGATTCACGTTTTCACGTTTTCACGTTGGCCTTCCCGGCCTCCCAGATTCACGTTTTCACGTTTTCACGTTGGCCTTCCCGGCCTCCCAGATTCACGTTTTCACGTTTTCACGTTGGCCTTCCCGGCCTCCCAGATTCACGTTTTCACGTTTTCACGTTGGCCTTCCCGGCCTCCCAGATTCACGTTTTCACGTTTTCACGTTGGCCTTCCCGGCCTCCCAGATTCACGTTTTCACGTTTTCACGTTGGCCTTCCCGGCCTCCCAGATTCACGTTTTCACTTTTTCACGTTGGCCTTCTCGGCCTCCCAGATTCACGTTTTCACTTTTTCACGTTGGCCTTCCCGGCCTCCCAGAATCACGTTTTCACGCCGAGCTCCCCGACCAGCAAATTGGCCATTTTTGCCTTGCCCGGGTCCTCCCAACCTCAAAAATTGCCCAAAAGTCGCAATCTCCACAGAGACACGTCTGGTTCACACTCAGAGCGCTGGACCTCCCAAAATTTGAAGATGGCCGCGAGGAAGTGAACACCTGCCCACAACAGGGGAGGAGCACCACACTTTAGCTTACGGGGGGAAGGGGGTGGGAGGGAGGGCGGCGCAAGGCTCACACAAGCAAAAAAAGGCGCCAAGACAACCCTGAACCCCTCTTGCCGAAACCCGCCTGCCACGCTGCGCGAAGATGTTGAAGAGTAGCCGGGTCACGATGCGCACCTGGTCGCAGGAGAGGGCCCGGGGTTCCCGGGAGGGGCGGGGGAGACGCAGGGCACTCTAGAGTTACAGCGGGGAGGGGAGGAAGGGCAGACAGCACGCAAGGCACTCCTGAGCACAAACGAACTACACCTCACTGCATCGGAGCCCACAATAGCCTGCAACCCGAAACCCTACCGACCCTGAAGCCTCTGCGGAGCCCGGCTGCCAGCAGTGGAGACGAGGAGCACCTGATCACAGGAGGGGGGCCCGAAATTCCCGGGCACTCAGGCGACCTCACTGCCTCACACCTGCCAACCCTAAACCCTGAAGCCTTGCAGCACAGCGACGCACAACACTTCCAGACCTCGCAGCCTCAGAACCCCCCAAACACCTTCCCAAACACCTCCTGAACCTCTGTGCGCCCGGCGTTCGGCCCTGTGTCAGGACCCTGTGTGTGTGTCTGCTGTCTTCCTTAGAAGTGTTGCTGGCTTTGCCTGCTGCTGTTGCGACCACAGGTGCTGAAGGAAGGTCTTTAGTTGGCATATGATTAGGACTAGCACGGTATGTTGTCGATTGCTGGCGCTTCGAGGAGCGAGCGCGGCCCAAGCACTCTAGCAAAAAATGCGCAAAGTCATGCCAAAATCATGCGAAGATCCAGCAAGAACATGCAAAACAAAAAATGCCAACGTTTCGCCCTGAAGCAGTGATTTTTAGGTCGACCGGCGAAAAGGCGTTCTTTCATGCCCTCGCCAGTACCTATGGATGCGAACTCCTGGAAACTCGACCGGCGAAGGGGGGCCCGCTCGGGCGACGACCTTTTTTCCGGCCGGGGTTTTCAAAAGTCATGAGCTGGGCTCAACAACGAGAAGCGATTAGAATTGCAGCCGAGGCCGGGGTCAGGGCGAGGACCTCGGCGGCAGGCTCAGAAACCCTTCCTTTGACACACCACCACCTCCGCTACGCGATGCTCAGCCGCCCGAACGGCGAGCTCACGAGGGCCGGCCAGTATTACTACCAACTGATCGACCGGCCGCCCCCCAGCCGGCAGTACGACCGCAACCAACCCCTCATCCGCGAGGGCCCGAACGATTACATCATGCTCCGGGGGGGCGCCAAAAAGCTGCTCCGCAGCCTCCAGCCCAACGGGAACTACCACTTGACCAAGCTCGGGAAGAGCTTCTTCAAGGACAAGTGGGTGGACTGGGTGGTGCACGTGCCCGTCATCATCCGCGGCATCCGGCGAAACGGCCGGAACCGCGGCATGCCCTACGAGCGCACGAAGCGCCTGCCCGTCACGGACCTCAACGTCACACTGCCCCGGCAGAGCGAGGGGCTCTCGGATGCCCAAGCGGCCCGGAACCTCAAGGCGTCCGCGCTCGCGCAGCTCGGGAACCCCGAGCCGAACGACATTATTTGGGAGCTGTCCGACGAGACCTACTACCTGGACGCAACGAGGGAGTGGACCTTCAGCCAGCAGGCCATGCAGGTCGTAGACGACCGGGTGGTGGTGGAGACCGTCCTGGATCAGCCCCTGGGGGCTCTGCGGGACGTCTCCTACCAGCTGTACTGCGGCGACGAAATCCTAGAGTCCGCCTTCGAACAGCGGCCGGACAAGCTTTGCGTCCCTCGGCAGCTCGCGGAGCTGATGCGGCTGCCGCTGCAGGAGGTGCTTTCGGACTTCGACGCAATCTGCACCAAAAAAACGTGGCGGGAGCAGGGCATCACCCCCCGAGAGATCCGGGAATTCTGCCTTTGGCGCCAGGCCCCGATGTTCTACGTGGACTGCCAGGGCCGCCTGCTGGACAAGTACGAGCCTACCGTCAAGGAGCAGCGGGCCGTGGCCTTCACGAGCTGGAACGGCCACGCCTTCTTCTACAAATCCGCCCGCACCGTCGCGAAGTGCGAGCCGATCGGGGAGCGGGCCAGGTACCGGGGCGAGAGGAAGCCAGGCGAAACGCCCGAGTTCAAGGATTGGCGGGAGTGGGAGGGCGAGGTCGCCAGCGGTCATTTCTACACTGAAGACCTGGAGCAGGTCCGGAGGGAGCTCCTGGCCGAGGGGCACTGCCCGAAGGTGGTCATGCGAAGCATGAGCGAGTGGCGGTGCCTGCGGCTGAGGGTGCGGGGCGGCGAGGACTGCGTCATCTCCGCCTTCCACGAAGACCTGGATGTGCTGCAGGCCTGGATGGGGCGGCTGGGGCTCCCCTATTGCGGGCAGCGTCTGGCGGGCGCCGCGAGCGAGGTCTTCCTTCACCTTCTCAAGGCCCGCCGCGATCCGCCCGGATCTCGGCAAGCCCTGCTCGCGGAGCAGGACCACCAGTGCAAGCTCTGCGCGGCCCCCATCACCGCAACCACGTGCGAGTTGGACCACATCGTCCCCGTGCACCAGTCCTTCGCCGCACAGGCCCAGAACCTCCAGGCACTGTGCCTCGAGTGCCACCGGAACAAAACGGCCCTGGAGTCCTCGCACGCCACGACACTGGAGTCGCGCTTCAGCCGGCGGGCTTACGAGCAGTACGTGGAATCGCCTCGACTCCCGCCGCTCGTCTTCAAGCTCAACAGCCACAAGCCGGACCACATCTGCCACGGTATAGACGTGGTGCGGTGCCGCAAGAACGGTCTGGCCCATGCCAAGTTCCCGGCGCCCATCTTCTGCCCCAAGGACAACGTTGAGCAAGCCCGCGAAGGGCACCTGGCGGACCTGACCTACGTGAGGCTCCGGGAGGACGGGCGTTGGGCGGCGTTCAAGCAGCTCCCCTACGTGGGCCAGGGCTGGTACGCCAAGCCTGCGGTGGCCTACATGCTGGAAAAGGGCCTTGCGACATGGAGCGACTTCGTGTACAGCCTGGACGCCACGGCGCACGTGGACCAGGAGTCCGTGGCCCAGGCCCTGCAGAAAATGGAGGCGGCTTGGCCGGAGGGAGAGGAGCACTACGCGAAGCTGTCGGTGAATGCCCTCATCGGGCTGTGGGCACGCAACATGAACCTCATCTACACCATGCGCACCAGCAACCACCAGTTCGACGGGTCCGGGTGCCAGCACCGGGAGCTGTTCCTGGACGCCGCGGGCGGGATGCACTGGGATCACATCTACGTGACCCAGTTGTTGTCCAACCGGAGCTGCCGGCCTGTGCACGACTTCGTGATGGCCTCGGAGTACGTCGCAGAATCCGGGATGCACTCGCAACCGTGCCGTCGAGGTACCTGAAGGCCGTCAAAACGGACTGCGTCGTCTTCCAGGACCTGCCCAAAAAGTTCCAGGGCCTTGTGGACAGCCTGGTCCGCGAAAGGCATCCCGACGGCACGCCCGTGTACCGATGCGAGGAGGTCAAGGGCCTCGAAGGCCAGTATCGGATCCCCCGAATCGAGGCGGAGTGGATGTGCAACATTGACACCTGGAAGGTCGCGGAGGACCCTTTTGAGGGCGGGAGCCTGCTGCTGACCGGCTACCCGGGCACCGGGAAGACCCACCTGGCGCGCCAGATCGTGACCGCCCTCCGGGAAGAAGGGTACAAGGTGAAGATCATCACGAAGACCCACTCCTCCGTGCAGAACTTTGGCATGCAGGCGGAGACGGCCGACCACTGGGTGCGGAGCACCGTCCGGAACGGCTACTGCAACATCGACTGGCTGGTGGTGGAGGAGATTACGCAGCTCGACACGGGGCTGTGGAACGACATCGCCTGCGTCTCCATGAACCGCAAAGTCAAGTTCCTGCTGCTTGGCGACTTCCGCCAGTTCCCCGCCGTCATGGACAACTTCGCGGGCACCCCGGTGCAGCGGGAGCTCAAGCACTGCCAGCTGCTCCACGACCTCACCGACGGCTGGCACCACGAGCTCACCGAGAACAGGAGGAGCGACCCGGGCATCTTCGACTTCCTCCGGTGGCTCCGGGTCGACGAGCCCCGGGAGCAGTCCCTGCCGGAAGCGGTCCGGGCGGCCCGGGAAAGGTTTCCGCGGCAAGGCGAGCCCGATGTCAGCCTGGTCATCTCCCACGCCCACCGCATCAGGATCAATGCGCGGGACAACCGTCGCCTGGCCCCGCCGGAAGCTGTGACGATCGAGTACACCGGCACTGGCCCGACGACCACCAACATGCCGCAGACCATGCGGGTCTGGCCCGGCCTGAAGCTCATCGGCGTCGGCGGCCGCGTGACCAAAGGCATCTACGTGCATGTGGCCGAAGTGGGTCCCGAGAAGATCGTCTTGGACGGCGGCGACTCCTTCACCCACGCCGCCCTCCTGAAACACACCCGGCTGTGCCACGCCATCACCTACGCCTCGTGTCAAGGCCTGACGCTCGAAGGGCGGGTTTTCCTATGCGACACCGAGAGTCCACACTTCACCCTCAAGCACCTCTATGTGGGGAGCAGCAGGGCCACCAGCAGCGAGCTCCTGAGCGTGCTCTAGAACGGACACTGAAAGGCCGGGGCTTCGGCCTCTCTGAGCTGCAGGTCCGTCACTTCCATCAGAAGCCCACACTGACCCGACATGAGCCACACCTGGCGCAAATCTGCGCGCACCTTGCATTCCCGACCGGCCAGGTCGCCAGGATCCTCCAGCGGCTGCTGGTCAGCGTCCCAGAAGTGGACTCGGGACAAATCGACCTTGAGCTTGATGAAGCTGTTCCCGCGTGAGGAGGTCTTGAGGCAGGACACGAAGCGACCCTCCACGTCCGACGCAGTGAGGTAGCGGCCGAAGATTTTAGAGTCGTGGAGGCATCGCTGGGTCAGCTGGCCCTTGATGTCCTTCTCGATCGCCTGCAGGTCTGCCTTGGCGGCCTCGTTCTGCTCGAGACACAGGGGGAGTCGCCGGGCTTCCGTCTCGCTGCCGTAGGGGCTGGGGTGCCACAAGATGCGCAGCCACTCGTGGGACCGCCAGGCCTCCGCGCACACCGGGAAGAACTTGCCGCCACGCTGGTTGGTCGTAAGCTCACCGAGCTTGAGTACCGTTTTGGGCTCCATCGCTCCTTCTTTTTTCACGACAAGAAAAAAATGCCGGCCACCGTCGCCACCGCGGAGTGCGTGGTGGCCCTGGCGTGCTTGCTGGTCCTGTGGGCCTTTTCTTTTCCTTCAACAAATGAGACTCCTGGAACTCTTCAGCGGCACGGGGTCGGTCGGACGTGCCTTCGCGGCCCGTGGCTGGGAGGTAACGAGTCTTGACAGCAACCCAAAAGCCAGCCCAACCATCTGCTCCGACATCCTGCAATGGGACTACAAGGCCTTCGAGCCCGGGCACTTCGACGCAGTGTGGGCCTCGCCCTGCTGCACCGAGTTCAGCATCGCACTCAAGAAGCGCCCCCGCAACCTGCCGCTCGGAGATGCCCTGGTGCTCAAGACCCTGGAGGTCATAGACTACCTCAAGCCTCGGTGGTGGGCCATCGAAAACCCGAGCACCGGGCGCCTCAAAACCCGCCCCTACATGCAAGGGCTGCACATGGACCGGGTCACGTACTGCAAGTACGGCTTCCGCTACAAGAAGCCCACGGCCATCTGGCACAACTTGCCCTGGACCCCCTCCCAGGGGCCCTGCCGCAAGGGCGACCGCTGCGAGGCCTTCCAAGGAACTCGGCACCCCGAGGCCGCGCAGCGAGGGCCCACCAAGGGGCGGCAGGGGAGCAACTCGCGGGACCAGCTCTACTCCATCCCGCCTGCGCTGTGCGACGAGATCGCCGCGAGCGCAACACTTGGGTTAAATGGGCAAGGTGCGTCTCTTCAAGACGCCTGAGTACTCCGTCAAGCAGCCGCCTGACCCCGTGGTTTGCAAGCCCCCCGCCAACGGTATTTTGTGTGCTCCATCTGCAAGCGGAAAGACGGTACTCCTTGTGAGCATGATTTTGGAGCAATACCGGGGCTGCTTCGAGCGCATCTATATCTTATCGCCCTCGGTGGAGGTCGACTCTGCCTGGCAGCCTGTCAAGGATTACATCCGAGACGAGCTGGGCGTGAATACGGACCGGGAGCAGTGCTGGTGGGAGGATTGGGACGAGGGGGCGCTGCGGAAGATCATCGCGGACCAGAAGCGCATCACCCAGAAGAGCAAGGAGCTGGGCCTCAAAAAACTGTACTCGGTCTTGGTAGTTTTGGATGATCATGCCGATAATCCAGCTGTGCACCGCAAGACGGGAGATGGCGTTTTGGACACTCTGTTCATCAGGGGCAGACATTTTTGCATCAACACCTGGGTCTCGACCCAGAAGCTGCGTCTTATGAGCTCCGCCGTGCGGGTCAACGTGATGTTCTACTGCGTCTTCCGGTTGCGAAACCAACTGGAGCTGGATGCCTTGGTGGAGGAGCTGAGCGCCATGCTCCCGAAAGAAACCCTCTACGCCATGTACGAGGAGGCCACCAGGGAGCCCTACAGCTTCTGGTTCGTTAACCTCCGCGCGCCCAAGGAAGACATGTTTTGGGTGCGCTTCGACCGGAAGTTCTTGCTAAATGGGGACGCTCCTGAGCCAGATGGCGGCCAAGTTGTTGGGGGGAGGCCCGATGTGCGAAAGTGAGTGCAGCAACATAAGGTGCTGCACCAGCACGCAGGGCATCTACGACCCCAGCCACTGGCCCCCACCAGACAGGCCCCGGCAAACCTCCGACGGCTCCAACGCCAGCGAGTTCTCGGCGCGGCCCACCCGGTTTTTCAGGCGCCGTTCTAAAAAGGGCATGACGAGTATCTACGTGGACTCGCGCCTCCGCGCGGAGGGCACGGACAGCAGCTTCTCCTTCGACATCGGTGAGAGTGTGCACATTCAATCCGGCGCCAAACTTGCGGCGTACAAGGTCCGCGTTGCTGACGCCTTTTTGAGCACGGACCGCGGGACGTTCTTGTACTGGGAGGACACGGTCGCCGGCACCCTGCATTACGCGGAGCTCCCGGTGGGGGCGTACACAGGGCCGCGATTGGCTGCGTGGATCAGCAGCAACTTCGCTTCCGCCAGCTACACCGCCGAGACAAATGAGCTCGACGTGACCTACGACGGCGTGCGCCTCATCCTCAACGATGCCGAGCTCCGGCAACGCTTCCCAGGCACGGCCCCCTACCCGCCGGGCGCCTCGCCCAGCAAGCCCCTGTCCATCAACCACCTCCTCGGCCCCAGCTACCTCACAGGCTCTGTGCAGCGCTTCGTCTTTGTGACGATGAATCCGTTCTCAGAACTGTACCTCAGGTGCCCAACACTGGCCAACGGGGAGACGACGGTGGGCCCGTTGGGGCACGACATCCTCTGCAAGATCGTCGTTTCGAAAGGCGTGGGCCACGTCATGGAGACCGAGACGTCAGAGGGGCACTGGGTTCAGCTGCACGGGCCCATAACCCTGCGTCAGTTGCGCTTCAAGCTCACCGACTACCAGGGCAACATCGTGAACACTCGAGGCACCAGCATTTCCTTTGTGGTTTTCCTCGACACCGAACGATAAAAAAATAATTGGAAAAGAAAATGGCTGAGGATGAACCCGCTCCTGTGGCCACCGAGCCCGCCGTGGCCGAGCCTCCCGCGCAGCCGGTGGTGGCCGAGCCTCCCGAGCCTGCCGAGCCTGCCGCGGTGGCCGAGCCGCCGACCGAGGCTCCTCAGAAAGCGCCCCAACCCAAACGGCGAGGGCGACCGCCAGGTTCGAAGAACAAGCCAAAGCCGCCCCCGACTGTGGCCGTGGCGGAGCTTCCGAAGCATGCTGAGCCGCCGACACCGGAGCCGCAGCAAGAGCCCCACCAGGAGCGAGCACAAGAGCCCCCGCCTGAGCCCCAGCAACCCGTGCGTATGACGCCCTCGGAGGCTCGCCGCGCCCGGCAGCTCTCGCGAGCCGACCGCTTCCATGAGCTCCTGCTCGCAAACACAATGGACTTGTAAAAAGAGATGATGCCCTTCCCCGAGCGGCGCAATGAGGCCGCGATGCTGCGGGCGTTTCACAAGCAGTATCCCAGCTACAACTTGACGCCGCTGCTCTACAAGCGGCAGCAGCAATTGATCGATGCTCGGGCCTTCAACGAGTGGCTGGCCAACCGGCGGCAGCGCCAGGAAGGCGAGGCCTATACGGATGAAGTGGGGCGTGCAGTCGACGCCGTTAACAGGAGGATCCCCCAGTTGAGGTGGGCCCCCGCCGAGCGGGCGGGCGTGCGTCGCGTGGCCCGCGATGTGGCTGCCGGGCGCAACACTAGCGACTCTGCGGTTTATGGCGGCCTCATGTAAAGACATGGAGGAGCGGCGTGCGCACGGCTTCCGCGTACGGCCGTCATACTCACAGGTCCTGGGCTACATCGCTGAGGGCGAGCCCTTGCGCATCGACCTCCCAAACCGCAATGCCAGCATCCTGACTTCCAGCCACTTCTGGCTGGACGACTATCCCCAGAGCTCCGAGCCCGAGCCAGCCCCGCTGCCCCACACGACCGTGAACCCTGCAGCAGCCTACGAGGATGCCAATGAAGGGTATGATGGCGTGCCCTTCCCCCGCCGAGATTTCCTGCGCCCACGGCCCTTTGACATGGACAGCGAACCGGATTTTGGGGCCGTGGACCCCGGGCAGGCTCTAAGAAACGACGGGTTTCAGCCCCCAGCACCGCCAAGCTTCCTCAGCCGGATGCAGCAGGCTGAAGCCGCTGCGGGAGCTGCAGCTGGACTGGCGGGCTCTGCCTCTGCCATTGCGGGGCACGGACAAGACCAAAACAATGCAGCGCGCAGGGGAAGGAACTGGATCGACCGGAACCTACGCATTCCGCGCACGCCCGAGGGCCTCGCGCCCCCGCCCGACGAAGTAGCTCCACCCCAAATCATCGGCCGGCCAAGTGAAGTGGAGCCGCTTCTGGAGCGGGCGGGACAGCGAGCCCAGGAGGTGGAGAGGGCGGCAGCCCGAGACATCGAGCAGTTCATGAGCGAGCAGGTGGCCGAGGCGGAGGCGACCGAGGGCTTCGCTTCCACCGCAGAAATCGCTGCGGGGGCTGCAGAAGCGGCAGGTGCTGCAGAGGCCGCAGCGGGTCCGGGCGCGCTTGCGCTGTTTGGCGAGGCAGCATTGGGCACCGCTGCGGGCATGGGAGCAGCGGCGGGGGGCTTGGCTGTGGCAGGCGGGGCGGCCGCACTCGTGGGAACCGCATGGGCACTGCACGGCGGCATGGTGGCGGCAGAGCACCTTTTGGGCTGGGGTGGAGGCGGAGGAACCGACACGGACGCCTCCCGACCCAGCTCGGCCCCCGACATCCAGACCTTGAATGGGATGCAGGAGTTTGGGGCGGAGCAGCACTTCCAGCTCCGGGAGCCACAGGCCTCACGGCAACGCCCGCAGTTTTACCGCATGGACACCGACAGCGAATCGGAGCCGCGGGCCCAGCCGCCCCCGCGCATGCAGGCTCGCCCCGCGAGGCCCACGCGCTTCCCCACGGGCTTGAACCCCGCTCCCTTGGCGCAGTCCTCGGGCAGCGAGTCCTCCCGCGGGCCTCGCATGCAGAGGCCGTCCCGCGCCGCACCGCCCCCGTCGTTCGAGGCGCTTCGAAGCGCGAGCGAGCCGGAGGCCGCGTGAATCTTTCGCTACAAGTAAACAGTATGGAGCAGGTAACTGCTGCCGTAAATGATGAGCTGGTCCAGTCTTTGTCGTTTCGGTTGGAGACCTCCAACGTTAACTATGTGCAGAGCCGCAAAGACGTCCAGTACTACCCGAGCTCCCTGAGCGTCTTCACGCCGACCACGAGCCGCGTGCGCCGCATCCCGCTGACCAGCGGCATGGACTTCGTGGACGGCGAGAGCGTCAAGCTCGGCTTCACGGTGCGCAACACCTCCACCACGGCGACGCTGCAGCTCGCCTCGACGGACCCGAGCTGTCTCATCGACCGCATCGAGGTCTTCGCGAACGGCACTCGCATCGAGGACATCTCCTATTACAACCGCTGCTCGTACCTCTACAGCCTCCTGAAGAACGAGGAGTGGTGGCTGAACCGGCACATCCAGGGCTTCCTGGCGGACGGCGGGGGCCACGCCGAGGAGATCCCGGCCTCGGGCTCCCGCACCGTGCTCATGAGCCCGCACCTCATCGGGATCTTCAACTGCGGCAAAATGTTGCCCCCCGAGCTCGGCCTTGTTCTTCAAATCACCTTCTGCGACCCCACCGACGGGGCCCGCAACGTCAGCGGGAGCCAGGAGTACACCATCGAGAACGTGAAGCTCTACGCCTCCCAGGTGACCCTCGACTCCGCCCTTCGCGAGAGCTTCCAGAGGATCATGACCAGCGGCCGCAGCCTGGTTTTCAGCTTCCCGACGATGCACACGCAGCTCTCCAGCATCCCCGCAGGGTCCACCAGCTACAATACTACAATAGCACGGGCATTTACGAAATTGCTCGGCGCCTTTGTGACGTTCAACAAGACCACGGAGGACCACGTGGACAATTTCGAGTACCCTGGAGCGAATGCGAATCGGAACCTCAAGGGCCAGCTGCAGCTGGGTGCGTTGCAATATCCTAGGACGGCCAACGAGAGCATCGCCGAATGGCACCACTTTTTGGAGATCCTGGCGGGCACCTATGACTCCAAGCTTCGCAACATGCGCATCCGGGACAACCTCTACGGGAACACGCAGTTCATCGCGGCCTTCCCGGTGGAACGAGTGCCCAAGCATCCGCTCTCGGGCATCTCGACCCGCTCCGGCGACCTCTGTCGCTTCAGCTTCAGCAACATGGAGGCGGAGCGCGTGGACCAGTGCTTCGTGCACATGCTCTCCTACCAGCTCGTGACGCTCTCAGGAGCTGGGGTCAGTTCCCTCGACTAGTAAAACATGAGTCTTTTTGAGTCGACCATCACCGGCAACATCCTCAACGATGGCCAGACCCCCATCACCACCATCGAGATGCAGGGGATCTCTGCGGGGCAGCTCGCAACGGTCCTCACGGCCTACACACCCCTCACAGACACCGCTGCCAACACCGCATCCATCGGGACCAACTCGTCCGCCGTCGCGGCACTGCAGGCCCAGGTGGCAGCCATCCCGGCACCGCCCGATTTGACCCCTTACGCTTTGGCAGCTGACTTGGCAGCCGCCGAGGGCCTCATCGCCGGCAACGCTTCTTCCATAACCACTCTCAGCACCAGCCTCACCACGGGTCTGGCGGGGAAAGCGAACCAAAGCGCCCTCGACGCGCTGCAGCTGGACGTGAACTCCAAGAGCACGCCCGCCTCCGTGGACCTCAAGCTAGCCAACCATCCCACTAACGCTTCCATGAACAGTGCCATCACCAGCGCCGACAATGCAGTGCTCGCGCAGGTCGCGAGCACCTATGGGCTGAAGAGCACGCAGGACCAGCTGGCCCTCGACGTGGCGGCCCGGCAAACAGCCGCGGACGTCGACCAGAAAATAGCGACGGCTCTTTTGGACCGGCCAACCACCACCGACCTCAGCAGCACAGTGGCCCTGCGCACCACCCCCGCGGACGTCTCGCAGCTCATCGCCACGGCCCTCCTCGCGTACGTTCAACAGGCGGCCTTGGACGCCGCCCTCGCCCTCCGCGACGGGAGACTCGACGCCGCCGAGGCGGCCCTGGCGGTGCTGCAAGCCGCGGGCTTCCAGTCGGCTGCCGACGTGGCTGCAGCGCTTGCCACCGCACTCGCGGGGTACACGGACACCGCGGGGCTCAACAGCTTGCTGGCCGTGCGAGATGTGCGCCTGGATGGGCACGATGCGGAGATCCTGGCGCTGCAAGGTGCGGGGCCCTTTGCGACGGCGGCGGACCTCTCGGCTTCCGAAACGAGCCTGCAGTCCGCCATCGATGCGCTCACAGCAGCCCTGGCGGCACTCACCACGGGCGGCGGCACGAACCTCGCCAACGCCCAGGCGTGGTCCGGGCAGACGACCTGGGATCTGCTGGTCGGAACGAACACAATTAGGAACTGGCACTTCAACGCTCCCCTGAGCGTCTCCCTCGAGAACGACAACTTCACGCTGAGCCTGGCCTGCGATGCGTACACGCAGGCGGAGGTCAATGCTCTTCTGGCGCCCCTGGCCAGCGAGTCCTGGGTGCTGGCCACCCTGGGCAGCTACTACACAAGCAGCGAAACCAATGGAGCCATCACTGCAGCTCTGGTTCCGTACAGCACCACCACGCAGATGGATGCCGCGATTGCCGCGGCTGTGGGCGGCATCGACTTGAGTGCATACGTGCCGTGGACCGGGCTTCAGGCGCCCATCCTGAACGAGATCGCTATAGCGCTCGCATCCTACTACGACTCCGCGCAAGTGGACGCCCTCATTACGGGCGCAGCTGTTTCCAATGCGCCCGCCTGGAGCGGGAACACCACCTGGGAGCTGCTGACAGGGCAGGCCCTGCGGAACCTGCACTTCGCCGGGCCCCTGGTGGCCAGCCTCCAGAACTCGGGCAACACGCTGCAGATCGAGTGCCAGGCCTACGACCAGAGCCAGACGTACACGCAGGCCGAGGTGAACGCGCAGATATCGAGCGCCGTGGACGCCCTGAACGTTTCGCAGTACGCCACGCAGGCCGACATCGACAGCTCCATTGCTTCGGAGCTGACCAACTACTGGGACCAGGGCGAAACCTCGGCGGAGATCGCCAGCCAGATCAGCTCCTCTGGGCTCCTCACCGAAGCGCAGGGCGACGCCCGGCATCATCCCGTCAACGGCAACGCCGGAGGCGGAGGCATCATCCCTATGGTCCTCGACAACTTCACGCCCAGAATGATAAGGGCGCTGCTGCCCCAGGCACCCCTGGGAGCGAACCTGATCCTGGGCAACTCCGCCACGGTGCAGCTTACGTGTGACTGCTACAGCAAAAGCGAAAGTGATGGGAGGTACTTCTCCAACAGCGACTTCACGCCCCTGGACTCCAGGTACCATGTGGTCAACGGCAACGCGGGGGGTGGGGGCATCATTCCTATGGTGCTCGACAACTTCACGCCAAGAATGATAAGGGCGCTGCTGCCCCAGGCACCCCTGGGAGCGAACCTGATCCTGGGCAACTCCGCCACGGTGCAGCTTACGTGTGACTGCTACAGCAAGGCCGAAAGCGACGCCCGCTATGCGCTGGCGGGCGCGCCGCCCTCGGATCCCCTGCTGGTCAATGACGTGAGGGCCAACGGAGCGGATTTCTTGACGCTGCGGGGCGGCAACCTGGGCATCGAGTTCGAGGCTTCCAACGGGGCCGCCGTGGCCGACCTGTCCTCGAGCCAGTTCAGCCTCAAGACGGGCGTCAACATGCTGACCATGGGCCGAATCTTCGCGGACAGCAGCCTGGGCATCGCCACGGCCGGCAGCATCCAGGCGGACACCGTGGAGCCCCTGCTTCCGACCAATCAATTTCTTAACCTGAAGGCGGGCACCGTGTCTGTCACAGTGACGGACCAGGCGGACCAGAGCCTCTGCACCTTTGCCACGGCGGAGGTGCACTCGATAGCCCCGAGGCTACGAGTGGACACGGAGCTCTACATCGACGACGCCACGGGCACGGCCACGGGGCTGGTGACCAACGCCATCTCCACGCGGGTCCAGGACACGGAGCTCACCATTACCGGAGGCTCCGGGGGCACCATCGTCAACGGCGCACTGGACGTGCAGGGCACGCTAACCTCGGGAAGCGTGGAGCTCAGCACGGAGCTGCGGGCGCCCACGGTGCGGGCGAGGCCCACAGACGACTACCTCACATTGACGGGCGGCACGCAGGGGACCTACCTCAACTCGGTGCTCTACACCGCCAGTGCGATTCGGGCCGACAACGGCATCGTTTCGAGCCCGGCCTACCTGGAGCTCATTGGCGGCAGCACGGGCGTGCAGGCGCAGGGGGACCTGCGGGTCGTGGCCACCGTCAACAGCGGGGACGTGACGGCGGAGGTCGTCAACCTCGCGCCCGTCGGCAACGCAAAGCTGCGTCTGGAGTGCGGTTCGGGCGAAGGGGAACTGGAGGCTGCTTCCGCGGGCGGCGTGCAGCTGTTCGCGCCGAACCAGGCCATCTTCTTTCGCACCTCCTCGGCCGGGCCGGCCAACCTCATCGTGGAATCGAACACGGGCGGGGTCAACGACGGGGAGGTGATCGTGAACTACGGCTTCCAGAACCTCTCGGACGAGAAGCTGAAGCACAGCGTGGAGCCCGCGGGGCTCGAGGAGCTGCAGGAGCTGTTCGACGCCGTGGCGCCCAAGTGGTACCGGCGGACCCAGGGCAGCCAGAAGCGCACGCTCGGCTTCATTGCGAATGAAGTGCAGGAGACGGGGCCCGTGGGCCAGGCGCTGTGCGGCAAGCTCGTGGATGAGGAGCTGGGAGAGCTCACCACTCTTGACTACAACCGCATGTGCTGCGTTTTGTGGGGTGTCTGCCAGGGGCTCCAGGTTCGTGTGGAGGCCCTGGAGAAGAAGGGCAAGAAGCGGGGCCGCTCGTGATATAAAATGGATGCGGAGAACGTGAACCTATTCCGGCAGCTGGCCGCGGACTTCTCGGTCCGCGATGTGCGGAAGCTGCACCAGCTGGCACGGCGGGAATTCCCGGACCGGCCGGGCATGACCTATGCCCGAGCCGCGCGAGCTTTGCGGGACGACGTGGCCAGGCAGATTTTGGCCCCCAAGCCCCGGTCTTTAGGCAAGAGTGCAGCCGAGGGCCCCAACGATCGGCTGCAAGCTGATTTGATCGACTTCAACGTCAACACTCGGGGGGCCAACAAGTACGGGCTGATTGTCTCAGACGTTTTCACCCGAGAAGCAGTGACCAAAGCCCTGCCCGACAAGAAGACAGAGACGGTTTCGGCAGCAGCCCGGGAGATCATCCCGAAGCTGGTGGAGGAGGAGACCAATTACGTTGTGTCCACGGATCAAGGGGTTGAATTCAATGGCCTGGAGGGGGCGCTGCCTGACCCCGTGGTGCACAGAGTGAAGGATCCCTCGGATCGGAACGCTCTGGCAGTGGTAGATAGAACCATCCAAACCTTGAAACGGGACCTGGCCAGCGACGTGGCCCGACATGGGGGCAACTGGAGCGAGCACCTGCCTGACGCAACCTTGGCCTACAACCGCCGGCCCCACGAGGCCGTGCATGCGGCCCCCGAGGATGTGGAACACCAAAAATCCACCATGTTCCGATTGTACCAGGACAATGCCAAAAAATTCCAACACAACATGCAGCTCACCCGGCGCAGGCAAGAGAGACTGGAGGAGATGGGGGCCTTCCGGGCCCCAACCAATGCGCGACGAAGCTTCGAGCCCCAATATGGAACCGCCAAGGATGTGGCATCCTACGACAGCATGGTGGTCAGGGCCACCGATGGCTCCGAGACCTTACTAAAGCACGCCTTACCCGTGCCCCGCGGGAGCGCTGAGCCTAAAGCGAGACTCACCCGCCCACCAGTGCCGCTGGCAATCAGGCAACTGCGAGACTTCAATCCAGGGCCTGCTGCCCCGCCATGATTCTTTTCATGCATGATAGATGAGCTCTGGGCTGTCAGCTGCCTGTGAAGCTGTCATGCAAAATCCTTCTGAGCAAAATCTGGTTAACCTGCTGGATTGTTGGTCACCACAATGGAAGCATCGCGGACGCCAACGAGGCATTGGCTCGGGATCATATGACATTTACTGCACCCTGGGACTGTATGCTTTTGGAGGGAACGCCCCTTGCATGTCGAAAGCATCCGCCATGAAAGAAGCATGTGTCGCAGTCAATCATTTCTTGCGAGATCGCTTTCCAAATGGAAAATGGACTTCCCTCGCAGTGATTCTGAACCCTCACATAGGACTCCACCGCGACATGGGGAACATGATTGGCATGCCAAACTATGCGA